GCCTGGAGAGTCTCATGGACAGAGGAGCCTGGTGGGCTACAAATACATGGGGTCACAAACATGCTCAGACATGACTGAGCAACTAACACAAATAGACTGAAAGTTAAACTCATCAATTCTGTTCGCATCTCATTGGCCTACAGTAGTGACATGGTCACATTTAGTTCCAAGGTAGGAAATGTATGCATGACCATGCAGGTAATATTCAGGAGGAAAAAAATGTAAACTGGAAGACAGTTAGTAGTCTAGCACATAGGGTCTGAGAGAAATAGTTCTTTCTTTGAAAACAGGTTTTTTGTAGGATTTAATTACTTGAATTTTTATAGAAAACAAACCGAAATGTTATGTGGCAATAAAGCCCAGACAGTCTTAGGATTTTGTATTTTTTTAAAGCATTTTATGAATTAAAAAAAATCCACTACTGGCAACTTTGCTTAGCACAAAGGATATAAAGTTAGTGATTATTTTCATGAATTATTGACATATATTCTATGTCTATCTAGAAAAGGGGCTTCCCAGGTGGCTCAGTGGGTAAAGAATCTACCTGCAATGTGTTTGACCCCTGGGTTGGGAAGATCTCCTGCAGAAGGGAATGGCAACCCATCCCAGGATTCTTGCTGGGAAATCCCATGAACAGAGGAGCCTGGCGAGTTACAGTCCATGGGGTCACAAAGAGTTGGACACAACTGAAGTGACACACACACTTCAATGGAGTGGAGTGTTATGTTTGTCTTATATCCTTTTGGAATGATAATCCAACATTTAGGAGTTTAACACAAGAAAAATGTATTAACTCACATAGCTTGTGAGATCAAGAATCTTAGAATTAAGAAGCTCAGACCTGGGGAATTCCCCGGTGGTCCAGTGGTTAGGACTCTGTGCTTTCACTGGCAGGGCTTGGGTTGGCTCCTTGGTTGTGGGAAGGGGGTTGAATTCAAAGAAAAAAATAATCTCAGACCTTGGCTGGATGAGGGATTTCTCATGGAGTTGCAGTCATCTGAAAGCTTGACTGGGTTGGAGAACTCACTTCAAAGCTGACTTACATGGCTGTTGGCTGAGGCTCCAGTTCCCCACCAGCAGAACTTCTAAGTTTTCCCCATAGCAACCAGCTTTTGCGAGAGTGAGTCACCCACAAGACAGGAAATATAAGAGAACAACCAAAAACATCTCTTACAACCTGATCTCAGCAGCAATATATTAATGTCATCACTTTTGCTCTAGTCTATTGATCACAGAGACCAATCCTGCTATAAAGTGGAGACGATTATACAGGAGAGTAAATACCAGGAGGCAGGAATCATTGGGGGCCATCTTTGAGAATGCTTACCGTAAATGAATACTGGAGAATGCCTACTTGGAGAAGGAAATGTCAACCCACTGAAGCATTCTTACCTGGGAAATACCATGGACAAAGGAGCCTGGTGGGCTACAGTCTATGGGTTGCAGAGTTGGACACAACTGAGTGACTAAACACCACCACCATAACACCTAACTTTTTATTGGAAAAAAAGCTGCAGAAAATCTATCATTTTTAAAACAACAAAATTCCACCAGATACAATTATTAGCTCCAAAGTTTGTCAGAGCAAACAGATTTGAGGTATTTAACTGTGTACAAGAAAAACAGTTGACACATTTGCCTTGGATGACTAATTTCGTTAACTTCTCAGGAGCACTGAATCCTTCAGATTATATTTGATTAAAATGTCTGCTCTTCACTTTTGCTCATCAGAAATGGCTTCCTCAGAGTGAACATGGTCAGTCAGATGTAGTTTCTTGAAAACTTTCAGAGGTTAATGTTAGCAAGTGAATTTCTATAAGCATTGGTTCAGTTTAAAGTCATAGGATCCTTTAATGTTGCCTAAACAGGGAGCTATATTTGGGGATTTGGCATACAGAGGGTCTGTCTTGGATCAGGTCTCAAAATACCTAAAGGATTTCCTTAAACAGGCCCCTGGTCAGATACAACAGGTGTTTTATTTCTAATTTTGGAAGCAGAAACAGGCAGTTTAGAGTGAGGCTGATCTACACTCATTTAGCAGGAATGAGGATAGTAAGTAATTTTGTCAGGACATCAAGTGTAGAAATGTCTACATCAAGTGTAGAAATGTGTTATTCTTCTAGTACTCTGATAACAAACCACATTTTTATAAGATTACATAGAATGGTGATGAATTCTGATTAGAGCTTCTGTTTTCTTAGTATTTAATGATTCATTTAAAAAATACTAAGTCAACTATAGTGTCAACTACTTATTTAAATGATCGTATTCATTTATTTGTACATTTGTGAGTGAATTACATTTTTGGAATAGAAAATAAAGACATGGTAGTGTTAATGATGTATTTGGTTTCCTTTTCAAAGTGTTTCAAAGGAATCTGGAGGCTTTTAAAAATAGTGATATTTCATTTAAAAAAATGTATGTATGTAAGCAAATTCAAATAAGATTAAAATATAGATAAGGCTTAAAATAAAAAATATGCTGAAAACATTATTAGCCACTCAAAATGAAATTATTGCACATATAGAAAGTGAGCAAAGCTTTTTAATGACTTCTAAAAATTAATCTAATCACAATGTAGTCTTGAACATTTCAATTACAAAATAAGGTTTGATAAATTTTCAAACGTGAGGCCCCTGGAAATATGTTTCTAATAATGTTCTCAAGATAATTAGCAATGCAGTTGTCTAGCATGCCAGACACAGTAGATTTTCCATAAATACCTATTGATTTGGAGATTAGCTTCAGAACTCTTATTTCTAAATTACATAAATGTTAGGAAAGGCATGTTTTTCTTTTGGCATATAAGAAAGTCTGTTGCTTATTAATACTACAGAATCTACTCATTTTAAGAATTCAATATTTAATCTATTGTTTAGATATTACTTTACTTTCAATTCCTCTGTGGGTTTAAAAGGCAAGTCATATTTATAAAAAGAAAATGCCATATTGTAAGTACTGGCAAAACTGGGCAGTTCTTTTTGAGTGGAATGAGAGTGCAATCATATATTTTAAATTATGTATTTTTAAAGAGATAAAAGCAACAGGTTTGAGTTGAAACTAGATTTTTCTAAAAGGGATTGTGAAGTGTATTTCTCTACAAAATGTACAAAATTCAATAGTGGGACAAGAAAATTCATTTAGGTCAGAATACTTTTTTTGCCTTCTAAACAGCACCATTGGATATTTGAATCTTTAAACCTTAAGAAATCAAATCTAAACGTTCCAAGGAGAGTGAACACACGAGTCATTGTTTGCACCAAGTACTGAGAACAGATTTCTCAAATAGAATTTTCAGTAATTTGCACTGGACTCTCACCATCTGGCCTGCCTTGCCCCCCATTCCAAAGAGTCTGTTTGACCACATGTCTAAACCTACAGTAACTCTTCAGTCTCCCCAGCCCCACCCTGCCGCACCATGGCTTGGAGAGTAGATTTTATGATTAACCGTGTATTTAAAAGACTGGGATACCAGATGCTGTTGTACTTGAATAAAAATAAAATTCTGGTGTCACAAAAACAAGCTGGATAAATTCTAGGTTCTAAAGGTATACACTGTCATTCAACCTCGCAGGGTGGGAAGTTGAACAGGAATTCTCCAGCAAGCACCGCTGGAAACCAGGGCACGTCCAGCACGCTATCAAACAATTACAAGATTTTTTTTTAAAAAAAGGAAAAAAAAAAAGAAAAAAAAATCTTAAGTTTTTCCGACCAGCGACATCCCTTTGTGCTGGGGTGGGCAGCTACAGTGGCAGGGTGAACCAAAATGTCTGTGGCAAAGGCATCATCTTGCTATATACCGCCAGAGCTGTATTTCTAATCTCTAATAGGAATTAGCAGTCCACGGTTGATTTATGGACAGCCAGTATCGCCCCGCAAGGAGAGTTCCAGGAGCCTTCGCCAATTAGGTCTATTTTCTGCTTAAGCCGTTAAAGCCACCTCCATGGAAACGTCAGGGGAAGGGCCAAGGTCTCCGCGCGTCTGCAGGCGGAGACCCTCGCCTGCTCGAGGACGCGCGGTGCCTGGGAAGCGTGAAGCCGGCTCCGGGTGGCGGCGGCGGCCGCGCTGTAGGGACTTGTAGTCCGGGCGCCTCCCCCCACCGGGTAGGCCGGCCGCGCGTCCCCGCCCGCCGCAGGCCGACTTCCTGCCGCTGCCCAAACTACACTTCCCACCGTCCTCTCCGCGGTCGGGGCCGAAAGCGAAAACACAGTCTGGGCTGCGAGGGTGCTGCCCTCCCGCCGGGCGCCCCCGCCCGCTCCCCGCCCCTCCGGCGCCCTCCTGCGAGGTGGGGAGACGATAAGGCCGCGNCTCCGGCGCCCTCCTGCGAGGTGGGGAGACGATAAGGCCGCGCCTTTCTCTCTCGGCTTCCTCGGCTCCCGGTGTGGGGGCCCGCAGGCCTCGCTTTCACCAAGCGTCCGGGCCGGCGCGCTCGGGTTGCGGGGTTTCCTCGCCTCCGCCAGGTCTGGCGAGGAAACTTGTGTGTGGGGGGCGGGACCCCCGGGCCCCAGTGGCTGAGCCGGGCGGCGAGGCCCGCGTCAAGTGACTGCTCGCTTGAGGTTTTGGTGAATTCCCCGCCTCGTTCCCCCCGGGCGCGTGGCCCCGCGGGAGGCGGCCGCGTGCGCCCGACGCCTCCCCCACCTCCCCCCAATCCGGGCTGCGCGTGGTCCCGCAGGCGTCACAGCGGCCCATTGTCGCCCCGGAACCGGACGCTGCCCTGGGACTGGGAGCTCCGAATCGAAACTTAAAAACCTGTAAATTATCTGGGTGTCGTCCCTCCTGGCGAAGAGGTAATGAGTTGAAGCTAGCCCGTGAGGCCTGCCGGAGAGTCTGCACCCTTGCTGGAGGGGTGGGAACTTGGCGAAATGCTGTTTTTCGCCTCCCCTTTTGGCTTTACAAGCACAGCCTTCACACCAGTAAGCAGAATGTTTACTAGAGGAGGTGGTGCACCAGACTCGACTTGCGGGATCTTGATTCCCTCCCCGCCCCAGTTACTGGACTTTGGAACGTGGGGTAGCTAAGCCCGCGGATGTCCACCTGAGTCAGGAGTAGGGGAAATATGCAGTTTGGGAAAACCAGACTTTAGAAAATGTAGAATGTTTGCACAGAATTGTCTTTGAGTAGATTCCACCGTCTTTTAATGCTCTGCAAGGCAGTGTAGGTGAACTAAAAAATAATTGACTGAGAAAAAGTGTTTTAAAGTTGGTAGTAGGAAGGAAGACTGTATCTGGGATCCTTTAGGTTCTTGGCAGAATTCTTCCCCCTTACTGGTTAAAATCACTTTGTGATACAGTTCTTGGGAGGATGTTTCTGATTTTTTTTTTTTTTTGGTAAGAGAGCTTATTCCCTATTATGTAACACTGTAGTTGGTAGGTGTGCAGTCACCCAGACCCATCCTGTATTGAAAAATAGCTGTTGAATTAGTTGGACATAAGTTTCACATTACTTCCCTGGTGTGTATATCCTACCGTTCAGTTTGCTTTCCTTTGGTCTAAGATCTACCCCTTCCCTCTCCTGCCTGCCTTTGGAGTTTTTCTGTTTGTCTTTCTCTCACCTTTTATTTTCCAAAGGCCCTCGTTTTCACATCAGTAGCATAAGATCCTTTTTTTTTTTTTTTTTTGGAAACAAGAAATTGATGTAGCTGGTCCAAACCTTTGCATTTTGTGGCGGCATTGTCATTCACACATTTTCACAAAGCTCCCCAAACTGAGCTGTGTCTTTTTCAGTTCAATCGATTTCTCTTATTTTTAGAATTTTAAGATGTTCTAATGTTGCCTTGGGAGATGTTTACACAAACAGATCCCAGTCTTAACTATTAGTAGGTAAACACTCTGTCCCATTCGTGAGTTTTCCGGATCACCATCTGTCCTGCTTCATCCGTCTCAGCCTCCTGAGTCTCCTCATCACCTCCAGAAGCAGAGGGAAGATGTGGAAGTGAATTCAATCCCTATTGAAACATATTAATTGGCTCTAGCAAGAATTTGGTAAGGAAAGAGGTGGAAGCAAATAGAAATATGAGAAGTATGGTGCTTGTTTGGAGTTGGATTATCCACATCTTAGTTTATATTGAAGTAGAAAGGTGTGGCTGGTTTCAGAACTACATGCTGTAGATAATTGGCAGACTCGATTGTATAGACTCCTTTTTAGTAGAAAGGAACAATAGCTAGCTCATTGCTAGCAGTAGCTAATGCATTTTATTATATCTCACTGTGATGGGATTTAAATTAGGCATGAGGGAATGTCCATGTATGCGACGCTGCCTTTTAGTATCCTGAGCTTGTAGAAAGTTTGCTACGGGGACTCTTGGGGCAAACTCTGTTCTTCAGTAGACGTGGACCACAGGTAATGTCTTCATGGCCAAAGGCGGCGTGTGTGTTGGTGGTGGGGAGGGGAGTAACGGCATCCTCAGGCTGCCCTTTAACAGTGTGCACAAAGGACTGACTTTTTGCCAACAATTTCTCCAGTAATATTAAAGTAACTACCATTTCCACCAGGGAGTCACAGTAAGGGATCTCAATGGCAGCCTTTGGCGGGGGAAATGCAGAGGGGGAGACTTGATTTAGCCAGAGTCTTCCTCTCCAAATTACCTGATTTAAATAACCCCTTCCCTTTTTACGCTTTTGGCCTGGGGCCTGCAGGAGGCCTGACCTGAATCAGCTCTGTGGCCCTGGAGCTAAAAATAGGGCCCTCTTAGAGGGCTTGGTGAAAGCAGAGTGTCTCAGCCTTTCTCTGTGTTTATCTCTGTCTGCCCTAAGATTGGAAAGCCTCCTATTTCTAGGTTATTTTCATGTATATAATAATTTGCAAAGATATTTGTCATACCATTTGAATTCTTCCTGAGTGCCCTTGAATTTGCTTTTCAACAGTTGTGATTTAGCCTCATTTCTCTTAACATTCCTTTGCTCTGTAAAGCTCCAGCACCCTGGGCACCTCGCACTGAGAATTTTGCTTCTGAGTAACAGGTTCAGATTTCATGTGCCAATGAAATGTTTGTTAGAGAAAAAACATGCCTGTCATTGTGTTTGATGTAAAATCATAAGCTTTATTGACTTATGTCTGCCGCCTGTTGCTAGGTAAATGGCTATAAGACTAGCTTCACTCTGCTAATGGCAGAAATGCCCTATCGGATGACACTGGTTTACTCAGACTAACATGTTGATTCATAATAGCGTCTAGCGTAGCTTCTGTGAAGGAAGCATTACTAAGTGTCATTTGTTGAATGGGCAAAAAAATTGTGTGGTGGTTATTTTTGCATTTGGATAGTCCTTCCAGTACTGGAGGCTTAGAGTATGTAAGGATGGATGCTGTTTTGTAGTTCCTAAAGACAGCAGTGTTCGCATAATTGTTAAGCTGAAAAGCAACTAGTATGCTAACCTCAGTTAACGCAGCGTCAAGAGTATCTGAATGTAAAAGGGACCTGCTAGCTCTCCAGGCGGTTGTGCCTCTTGGTTCCATGGGTATAAGTGAGCCTTGGCTGTTATCCAGAGAGACCTGTAACAGGTGCAACTGGAGCCTTCCTTTTCCTGAATTCTCTGCTCACCCTGAACATGAGGGAGACTCACTCAGTTGAAACTGTAACTCTTAAAGCTACTTTATAATAATAGAAATTCTCAAGAGCCCCGGATAGTAATTTTGAGATGTTATTTTAAATGTCAGTTTTTTCCCCTCCTACCTTGACCTTGTAGGGTAGCAGGAACACCTTCGTTTGAGACGCCTAGTAGTACAAAACAATTTTAATGTCCTTTTTTTAGTATGGTAAAGTATTAGAGACTGGCCAAAGGGCTTAGACTTCTTTAAGAGACAAAATGCCAGTAAGTTATTCTTTTGTTGAACTAGTTGTTTAACAGAAGAGGCTGTAGAGTGAGAGGGTGTGGGTCATGTCCCTAGTATGGCTTATTGCGGGTGGTGCTTTAAGATTGGGGGCAGAAGAGCATGTTGGAAAGCCATTGGGATGATAACACACAGAGACATGATTGCATCCTGTGTGCTGCTCCCTGGATGCTCTTTCCAGAATCATGTAAGCCTTACAGCTGAGGATTTAAGAATGAGTGCCTTAATTTTTCTTAAACCACGGTGGACTAACATTTATACATAAGGCAAATAATTCAAAGTTACTGGGAAAAAGCAATTTCTCTATTACAGCAGAAAGCCTCAAAGACTTATTTTTTTGTTGAAGTCACCTCTTCATTCTCTTTTCCAACAAGCCGAGGATGAAGCTGAGCACTACGTAGCAGGGATTCTGTCAGCTCTGCTTTGTGAGGAGCAAAGTAATAGTCGAGGGGTGGCCAGGAGAGGGAAGTGTAAGTTTACGAAAATTTCCCCAAAGGGATGGTCTCAGTGCCCTGCAGGAGAAATGCTAACAGGCTGTCCATCGAGTGACATCTGGCTTAAGAAGTACTGCTGTCAACGGTATGTGGTACGTCAGCTCCGGGTTCCCGGAAGAGGTGAGAGTGAACGCAGAGCTAGAAATGACAGGGAAATGGAGACGGACGTCTGCTGGCGGTGAGGGCGCGCTGGGTGAGAAGGCAGGCACTCGGTCACAGCTTCGCGGCGGCTTCTAGCAGGGCTTGAGACTGCTGCTCTTTCCTCCACAGGTGCTACACTCCCAGTCCCGCCACGTTGAAGTCAGGATGGCCTGCATCCATTACCTTCGGGAGAACCGAGAGAAGTTCGAAGAGGTGACTGATCATTTTAAACGTGTAACGGTGCCTTGACTTATAGGTACATGTTAGCCGTTCGAGTGGTCGAGTGGGAATTTCACAGGTTGGATCTGATTGTAGGTTATGAAGATAAACCTTATAAAGACAAACTGCTTTTTTGAATTCAAATCCATAGTCAGCTGTGATTTTTTTGTTTGTTTTAAAGGCCATCTTGTGGTGTTCATTTATTCAGACATTGAGAAAGCTGCTGTGACAGATGGATCACATCTGTGGAGGCTGGAGGGTGACTTGGGTGGGACCTGAGCATGTTACTAGTGAGCCGTGTCTGACATGACCAGGGATTGGTGACCCCCTGTGAACTGTAAAAAATCGCAGACCTTGGTGTATAAGAAGTAGACTGAGCATAGCTAATGTTGAGCCTCTGATTTTATCGGGAGGTATTTATAGGTTTTTAATTTACAGGGTTCATCATTATGAACTACGTATCAGAACATTGTAATTATATAAATAATGATTAGTAGTTAATAGAATGTAGTATAGCTAATTAGTACTTAACAATGTGTTATCAACTGACTGTAATTTTCTTAGTAGTAGGCTGTAGTAGATGCCACGGTGACCTATTTTCATTTTACATTGAAAGCCTTGTAAGATTTACTGGTTATTGGTTTTATGATGTAGAATTATCATCTGACAACCTTTAGTGGTATTTTCTCCCCGTTGACTGCCAAAAGAACGTTGACACTTTGCATGTAACCCAATTCTAAGACTTAATAGGTAAATATTGTTTAAAGGTGCTCTTGGGTTGGAATTGCTATTTTTAAGCAAAATTTTATTACTGGTGACATTTTTCTGGATGCCATGTTTTAAGATGAACAGTAATATATTCCAGGAAGGAGAGTTACCTGCTTGATTAGAAGATTTGAAAACTTGTCTTATTTTAAAAAGCTGGTTATGTGTAGGCTAGATAAGAGGGTATTATGGCGGAGAGGAAGGTAGGGTAGAGAGGTGGTCTTTAACTATTTGAAGAAACTACAAGTGAATTAGTTAATATTAGCTCCAGAGGGTAAGTTCTGTTGACAGTCATGGAAATTGCTAGCGTTTGTTGAGCATTTGTGTCAGCAGGCATTGTTTTAAGCGCTTTGCATATATTCATTCAGCTCTTACAGTCTTGGGGGGTATGATCTGAGGCTGAAAGTTCTGAGGGGGAAAGTTTCACTTTCTTTACAGTGAATACCTCTACCAGTTTCTATTTACCAGAATTGGGAAAGACTGTCTAGTGTAGAGGGATGTGCTTTTTTATTGAAAATGTTAAGTCAGGGCCTAGGTAAGTACTTTCTGATTAAGAAGAATCAGTTGGATGCAGGCTTGTGTCAGACCACAGCTTAAGTCTCTTGCAACTTTGAATGGTTCTGTGGGGTTGTTTTATTTCTTTAAATTCTATAAATAATAAACTAATAGAGAACAGTAGCCTCTGATTGGTGGAATATTTCAAATATTTGACTGTTTCAGTGCAAGTATGCATTTAAAGTTAGGATACTTTTGGAAATTAGAGTATTTCATCAATAAAAGAATTAATCTCTGTCTTAAAAAAAGGGCATTTAAAAGTTTTTTATAGACCAAGCAATATATTTTAATGTTTTTAAGTATATCACTTTGCTAAATTAACTGAGACTTTAATTGAAATAAAATTGAATTTGGTGTTTCAGATGAGTGTCTTTTAGAGTTTTCTCAATTAAATTAGTGCAATTGCTATGAGAAAAGCAAAAAATGTAATCATATAGCTTGAATCAAATCAGATTTTTTTTTTTTGAATAACAAGAAGACAAGCTGGATTAGAAAAATGTTGATTCTTCAAAATATCTTTAGCATTATTAGTTCTTGTTTGTTTTTAGTGTAATTGATCTAAGAGACAATGACTGTTCATGTCTGTTAGGGAACTAATATTTCTTAGCTCTTGCATCTGTCTTTAGCGCTCTTCTAAGCATTGGCCATTACCCAGTTAGTCTTTAAGTGCTGCTTTAACCATGTAAATTCTCTGTCGATGTCACCTTGCATGCCTCCTCCCTCGGTCTGATAGTCCTGCCCCTGCTCCTGGCATAGGCAGGTGAGCAGGCGAGCTCCTCTCACTGTGCTCACCCCACGAAGCAGCCCCCCTCTTGCGGTGCAGGTGATCCCCCCCCACTGCCGCCGCCTCACGGGGTGCTGTCCCAGTGCCCCCCCAGATCCTGTCCAGGAAATGGTGCCTCCTGTGTTTTCTTCTTAAAATTCTGTTGGATCTTTACGATGTTTTCTTAATAATTTGTACATATTTTCATAATTAGATTTTTTTCTGTGTGTTTGTGTGTGTGTATATATATATCTTACTGTTACTCTTGTATCCAAGGTTTGTGTAAGAATTCAGTAATTCACAGTGAAGAAAGTAACTTTTGATGGATTTCTAATAGGCCTTTTTCCCTTTTTGCAGTTTATAGAAGGGTCATTTGAAGAATATTTAAAACGTTTGGAAAATCCACAGGTATGTAGTAATCTTGTAATATATTTCTTTTCTTTTGTGTGTTAAATAATGTATTCCAAATTCATTACAGTGTGAGGTGAGTATTACAGTGTTTGGAGGAGTTTCCTTATGCACAGTTCCTGTCTTAGGTGCACGTTTAATTGGAAGACGCTGGTGCTGTGTATGTGCCATGAGCGTTGCCTCACTCGGGACAGAGTCATGCTTTCTTGATCTGTTGTGACGACTCGTGAATGTAGTATAAAGACCTGAAATAGCACCGCAGAGGATTTCCAGAGTGTGGTGTTGGTGTGTGCGTGGGGCTTGGTGGACAGGGCAGTATTCGATTGCTTCCTTAGGCAGCTGACAAGACAGGGTCCATTCCGCTTAAGGTGGTCAGCGCGAGAAGTGGGAAGAGACTGCTGAGGATTAAGGACAGCCCTTCCCCACCGACTCCCACTGCCAGCACTTTCTCAGTCACTTGGAAATTAAAAGAAGTTTTCTGTTTGTTATTTTCTCTTCTCCTGCTGAGAAACCTAATGCTCTTTGTGTAAAAATCCAAATGTTAACGGAATGGCCTGTAGAATGTTCCCTCATCCCCAGAGATGATCACTGTTAGATTTAAAACGACAACAAAGACGCCGCCAAGAGGTGTCACATGGGGAGGAGAGGGTGTACTAACGGGAGGAAGGGGTTTCGCCAGCGTGCGGGGTCTCTTCGATTCCCTGACTAGTTTGAGTGCTGGCTGTGGGCTGCGAACGCCGGGCCCCGGGGCAGCGGAAGGCGCTGGGCTCTGGATGCCCTTCTCGGGAGCGCCCCTGCAGCAGGGCGGGGTGTGCGGTGCGTCCTGAGAGGTGCAGGGGGCTGCTGCAGTGCTGCTGCTGGTCCGTCGCTCCAGTCACAGTCTGACTTCTTGTGACCCTGCGGACCGTGAGCCCGCCAGTCCCCCTCTGTCCGTGGGATTTCAGTCAGGAACACGAGTGGGGCGCCATTCTCTCCAGGGGGTCTTCTTGACCCAGGGATTGAACCTGAGTCTCCCGCATTGGCCTCCGTCACAGATAGGAAAGATTAAACACCAGAACGTTAACAGTTCTCTCCAGCTATTCCTGGTGGTTTTTATTTCCTTTGTAGAAGATGAAGGGAACGACAAAGAGCATTTATAAATTTTTAGTCAGAGAAAACCCCCCAATATGATTTTATGGTAATCTTTGGGAACAGTTCAGGCTCTTGGGCTGTGAGGGTCTGAGAAAGGATAGAAGAGACTTCCTGAGAGAGAAGGGGACAGGGAGGGGAGTGAGGCCGTGTGAACGGACTGGAGGTTGATTTGGGGACCTGCAGGGGCGGGGTGGGCGGGTTGCTGCAGTTCTGAGCGCCTGGGAACAGGTGTCTCCTTCCCAGGGTGCGGGCCGCCAGCTGTGTTATTCCCAGGACACTCCCCTCCGCAGTCTGGGCAGACCTCCTCCAGATGTTGTCGGTACCTTCTGACAGAACAGGTTGGTTCTTACTAGCAGTAAATGCTTCTGCCTTGGTTCTCCTTCTCCCCGATACATGGAATGTATGAAATGAAGAGAAATGTCGTCAATTGATAAGCTCCAGTGCATCACCCAGTTCTCAGAGAAAGAGAGCTTTCTCCTTTTTTCTTAAAAATATCAGTGGAGCATTTTGAAAAACGCCTCAAAAAGAATATATTTTTGTCAGCTTTACAGAGGTAAAGTTGACATATGATAGATGTTTTAAGTCTGTAATTTGATGAAATCTGGCAGATGCATACAGCTGGGTGATCCCCACCCCAAACCACACGGGGCATTTCTGTCTCTCCAGAAAGTCTCTCGTACCTTTTGGCAGTTGGCCTTGACTCTCCCCCTGCACCCACCCGTGTGCGGAGTTTTGCCTGTTCGAGACTGGAACAAATAGAACGATGTGGCTTGTAGTCTTGTGTGTCTGGCCGCTTTCACTTAGCATAATGGGAGCGCTTTGAGATTCATCTGTGTTGCCCTTTGTGTGACAGGTCATTTTTATTGCCGAGTGGCCGTGCATTGTATGGATGTGCTGCAGCTTGCTTTAGCAATTTACAAGTTGATGGATATATGATTTCTTCCCAGTTTGCTGCTGTTATTAAAGCTGCTAAGACTATTTGGTTGCAAGTCTTTCTATGGACATATGTTTTCTTTTCTCTTAATTAAGATTGTTAATATTATTGAGAGTGGAATTCCTGGGTCATATGGTCAGTGCATGTTTCACTTAACGAGAAATTGCTAATCTGTTTCCCAAAGTGGCTGTGCCGCTTTGCTTTGTCATTAGCAGTGAGTGAGAATTTCAGTTGCTCTGCATCTTCATCAACACTCAATATCATCAGCCTTTTAAAATTGTAGCTGTTTTAGTGGCTGTGTGGTGGTGTCTCACTGTGATCTTAACTTGCATTTCTCTAGTCGTGTTAAGAATCTTTCCATGTGCTTATTTGCCATCTGTATCTCTTTGTTGGTGAAATGTCTTGCTCATAGATTCTGTCCTTTATTATTTTGCTTTTGTTGAATTATAAGAGTATTTTATACCAAGTATAATAAATTCTGTACTGGATATATATTTTCCAGTACTTTCTTCCTGTTTGTATCTTACCTTTTAGTGTTCTTAATAGTGTCTTTTGAGGAATGAAAGTTTGCTTTTGATGACTATCTAAGAACATTTAAATTAGTGTTTTTGATACAGTATAGTTCTTTAGTTAAAATATATTTGTAGAAATGCTGGGCTCTTACCCTCAATGAGAAAGCAGGCTAAACATACAGAGTGTTGAGTAAGTAAAATTATAGCGTTCAGGTAGAAGACAATGATAGAACATAAGTTTAAAAAAAAAATCAAAATTGTTAGAGAAGGCAAGATATAATGGCCATTGTCTACTTAACCAGACTACAACAGAATTTATTCTGAAGATTAAATACTTACAAAATGGTACCTTATTTGAGAGGTAGTGTCTTGTTGACATGAGAAGTGATGCAATCATTCTGCACAAAATGGAATAACCTTGGGTTTAAGATCTCAGCAGATGGTTTCAGGGAAGGATTTCCTCTATACCAAAAGGTATTGCTTGTGGAGTTTATGAGAGGCTGTTATTGTTAGGCAGAGGCCTATTTTAATAAATCTATTTTAATGTATGGCACCTATTTCATTTTGAAAAACAGAGCCAACTTTTAAGATTTATTGAGGTGCAAAGTCTGTGGGGAAAGATGATCCTTCTCTGAGAGGATTTCAAACCGTCATCCAAAAATCCTTTCCTTATCTCAAATCTCTCTTCTTTGAAGGTAAAAGTGGCAGCATTCATTTACTATAGTTCTTTTTTTTAGTAACTCTTGGTATTAAGTCTTTACTAATTTCACAGATAGTTTAGGAATACATTCTCATGGTCAAAGATTTATTGCAGAATGAAGAGTGAAAATCCTTACTTTCCCCCTCATCTTTAAATTCCTGTTTCCACTGTCAATTTAGGATGTATCTTTGTTCTCTTTCTATGTGTATGTGTCTATATATATTTATTTTGTTCTGCACAATAGGGTTATTTTACTGACTGACTTTTTCCACTTAACAGTCTGAGTGATCCTTCCAGGTCATTTCATAGGAGTATAGCTCAGTTCTTTTTGGTGATTGCATGATATTTCTGTACATAGTTTGGGTGAATGATAAATTTATTTAATTGTTCCTTGTCTATTAGTGGAATCTTCGGGCTATCTTTAAAAATTTTTTAAAAATTGTTACAGATAGCTGTAGCGGCCATCCTTGTTTATATACAGTTTTGTGGACATACGAAATATTTCTTTAGGATAGTTCTATAGAAGTTGAATTGCTAGCTTAGAGTATTTAAATTTTTGATATATTCTGGCCGTTTGCTTCTGAAAAGCTTAAGGACTTAAAGTGACTCCTTTAGTATGAGAACTTCTCCCACATGTTAAAATGATTCCTGGTACACTGCTTTCTTTGGTGCCTTCGATTATTCTGAAGAGAGCCGACCTGCGCTTTCTCACCCTTTCTGATCCACGCGCTGCCCCTGGTCAGGGTCCTGCTTTCTGGGGACATACTGTGTGCGGGCTCAGTCCTGAGTGCTCAGTTGGAATCTCTGCCTCCTCTAAGTTCTCAACTTAGAGATACTATGTCATCCTGCCACACCAATAGGAATTCTAATTCCAGCCCTGTTACTAAGGATATTTGTTACCAAGACTTGGGCTGCTTTTTAGTGTACACTATAGCTCATTTTATAAAAATATTTTTATAGTATTCTCAGTAGTACTAATAATGAGCTTTTCGGGCCATTAAAGAAAATGCATTTGAGTCAGTTCCAGGATGAACCTAGAGCCAAGTAAGTCAGAAAGAAACAAATACCATATTAATACATACGTGTGCAACCTAGAAAAATGGCACTGATGAACCTGTTTGCAGGGCAGCAGTGGAGATGGAGACAGAGACAAAAGATTTGTGGACACAGTGGGGAAAGGAGAGGGTGGGGCGAATTGAGAGAGTAGAGTGGAAGCATATTTTTATTACTGTGTGTAAAGTAGATAGCCAGTGAGAATTTGCTGTGTGATGCAGGGAGCTCGGACTGGTGCTCTGTCACAACTTAGAGGGTGGGCTGGGGTGGGAGGTGGGAGGGAGTTTCAAGAGGGAGGGGACATAAATATCCCTGTGATTAATTCATGTTGACATGTGGCAGAAAGCAACACAATATTGTAAAGCAATTATCCTGAAATTAAATAAATTAAAAAAATATTAATGAGCTCCTCTAGCTAATTTATTATATAAAGATGTGTATTAAGGTATTGTAAAAAGTAGACTCTTATGGGCCAACTTGTTTTCTTCAATACAGGAATGGGTTGGACAAGTGGAAATAAGTGCCCTTTCTCTTATGTACAGGTAAGCCCTATAATAACAGGTAAACAAAAATAAAGTCAGTGGGAAATTAACATGTTCCATTGTAACGAAGTTGTTAAAAATAGCAGAATCACGTACAAACCTTCTAGAGAAACGATTTCCTACTTTCTCAAGGCTGGTAGCATTGAATGGCTGATAGAGCAAAGGCAAAGCACCATATTGTCAATTCTACAACTTTTTGTCTGTTAGCAGATCAGGTGACTATTTTATTTTTTCAAAATGTCTTTATAAATTTCATCTCCATGATTTCTGTGGTTTTGAGGTCTACTTTTAGAATTCTATCTGAAGTTATATATAAAATTACATTTAAAATTTTGCTTTTTTAAAAGGATACTTTTTGCATAAGTGTGTTACCGCCTAGTTATCCGTCACTGCCTTTTGTCCGCTGCTGTTTCTCCAGTGCTTGGAACGTTGCTTGGTGTGCCTGACTCTTGAGTGAATGAATGAATGGATGGTTAAATCTCAATTTCTGGAGTGTGCTTCCATAAGAAATAATTTCTAAATGTTATTTTCAGGAAAGATTTTATAATTTACCAGAAACCAAATGTTTCTCCTTCACAAGTAACTGAGAATAATTTTCCTGAAAAGGTAAGAGTTGTTCTAAGTTCTTCTAAAGGATTTAAGTAAAGGAACCAAGTAAAGGAACCACTCACTTGCCATCTTGACTGCCTGAGCTATAATTTTTAAGTGACTTTTTGAGTTTTTAAAGTTCTTATTAATCATTCACAAGTTTTATTATTTTGTATTTGTTTTTCCGCACAAATATTGAACTCTATTGTGACATTTTATTAGATAAAAATAATTGAGATGCCAGTGTATGTGATTAACTCGACTATTACTGTTTTACATCAATATATACATTAGATAGAAAAATAACTTGTGAAAATAGGTTCTACTGTTGCATCTAGAAACACTTAACTGTGATATATTTCCCATTCAGTTCAGTTCAGTTCATTTCAGTTGCTCGGTCATGTCTGACTCTTTGCGACCCCATGAATCGCAGCACACCAGGCCTCCCTGTTCATCACCAACTCCTGGAGTTTACTCAAACTCATATCCATTGAGTCGGTGATGCCATCCAGCCATCTCATCCTGTATCGTCCCCTTCTCCTCCTGCCCCCAGTCCCTCCCAGCATCAGGGTCTTTTCCAATGAGTCAGCTCTTCGCATGAGGTGGCCAAAGATTGGAGTTTCAGCTTCAGTGTCAGTCCTTCCAATGAACTCTACTATTACTGTTTTACATCAGTATATACATTAGATAGAAAAATAACTTGTGAAAATAGCTTCTACTGTTGCATCCAAAAATACTTAACTGTGATATGTTTCCCATTACATTACAGAGGTAGTTTACTGGCTAAGTCACAAAGCAGAAACAACTGAAAAATGATGTAAAGCCTAGAAAGCGGGGGGAAAAAGCACCATGATTCATTTCTAGAGAGTTTTGTTTTCATGATCTGCATTGGGTTATCCAGGCCAAGTTGAAGTGTCTTGTCACCACGTTTATGGTGTTAGGGGGAAGGAACCGGGGTAAATATACCTTTTAAGGACTTGTGGGAGTCCGAGGTGCCTGGCTCTAGATCTGGCCTTTACAGTGTAATTTTTGGAATATATGATATAGTCTAAGCAAAGTCAGTGTGCGTTGCTCTTTGCATAAGTGATCGATTATTTAGAAGGTACATAAAGCTGTAAAGCAGAAAAAAAAATGTACTTTTGATTCTGCTCCTTAGGGGTAAGTGTTATTAAAGTTTTAGAATATTTTCTTACAGTCTTCTAACCCTTCTGTTTCAATAGTTGAAATCATTTGTTCTTACAGATTGTGTGTGATTTTTGTGATGCAGTAAACATTTCCCCAAGTCATTAGGAATTTCTGATTCATTGGCTTTGTAACATTTCAACATATGGATGTATCATGACCACATTACAGCTTTAGGTTACTTCTAAAACATTCTACTGGGAAATTTATTTACTGGTAACTCAGAGATATTAGAGGTGTAAGTAGCTGTGTAAATGTTGAATGTGAAGGGCTGGAAGATGAATTCTGTTTTTCCCTTTCAGGTGTTACTGTGTTTTTCAAATGGAAATCATTATGACATTGTCTACCCCATAAAGTATAAAGAGAGCTCTGCTGTGTGTCAGTGTAAGTATCACCCTTGTGTTGGCATAGACATTTTCTTCCTAAGCTTTGTGGTCTTGAGCAAACAACTCAGGGCAGATACACTGTTTTGTTGCATAAAAATACATTTCTGACAACTTTAGGTTACCAAAAATCTTAATACTCTAATAAAAACTTGTTTCAATAGAAAAAAGGTGCTAGTAGAGTAGAGTTTGACTTGTAAATACGAAGTTATATTTTCCTGTGGTAATTAATATTGTTAATAAAGATTTGTATGTTTTTAAAGCTTTTAGTGCATAGCTTGAAAATCTAAATGATTCAGGAAATCAGTATTTGATTGTATTTGTCACTTGACCAGGGTTTCTTGACCTTGGCACTGTTAATACTTAGGGCACATAATTCATTGTTTTGGGGGTTGTGCACATTGTAGAAAGTTTAGCATCTATTATGCCCATAGTGGGACTTCCCTGGTGGCTCAGATGGTAAAGAATCTGCCTGCAATGCTGGAGACCTGGGTTTGATTCCTGGATCAGGAAGATCCCTTAGAGAAGGGAATAGCAACACACTGCAGTCTTCTCGCCTAGAGAATTCCATGGAAGGGGTGTCTGCGAAGTCGCAGAGTTGGACACAGCTAAGTGACTGCCCTTCTGACATGCTAGTAGGGCTCTCTTTCTCCCCTGTGACAACCACAGATGTCTCCAGACTTTGCCACGTGTTTCCTGGGAGGATAAAACCTCTCCACCTCTCCCAGCTGAGAATTACTGCCGTGGCAGCGCCTTCCTCCCTTCTTTATCTGCTTTATCATCTGTTCTGACAAAGTGCGTGTGACTCATATGAAGCACTGTGCTGGGCATATGACAGCCTTTCCCCCCTATTCTTTAGCTAAGGGGGACCAGTAAAGACAGCACATGATGCCTGCCTTTTCAAAGCTGGAATGTCCAGCTTTTGATTGACTGGGAGAGGCAGAGAACATAGCCCAGGATGCAGACAGCCAAACTTCACATCTCAAAACAGATCAATTTACAACTTTATATTACTTGTATTTAATGTATTGACATATTTAAAGCTAACAGCAATACAAAAAGGTATCACAGCTGTGAGCCAAGGCTGATAAAATTAAACATGCACAGTGAGCAGTGACCAACTATGGCGCACACTGTGCTAAGCCTCTGCATACTGCTTTCATATTTCATCCTGGCACAGTGAAGTGCTCTCATTCCAGCCGCACACAGGAGGAAACAACTGGAGCGGTCACACAACCTACCCAGCCTGAAGAGGCTTGGATGGAAAACTTAGGGAACACTGAGTTTTCTAGAAAGAAGATGCCTTTTCATAATGGACTAAAAAGAAACCTTTGTAAAATGTATTCTCAGCAACCACGGAAGCATATTGAGACAGTGTTTCTGCTTTCCAAAAAGAGGAAAACAAAAACAGACCCACACTCCAGAAAACATAGAAATATGTTGCCAAATGCTCAAAACCTCTGCATGGAGTTCAAGACTCCCATGTGTTTTAATTCGGAAACCTTACCAAAACAAGTGCACTAAGAATTCATCACAGTGGTGTCTGCCCCTCAAAGGAGTCCCCAAGAGACCCCCTTTCTCACCATCTGTATCTCCCTCAGTATCATCCAGACGACAGGCAGCGATAATTCTGAACTAACTGCAAAGACCAGTCTAGCTTCTGAACTAACTGCAAAGACCAGTCTAGCTGCTCTCTAGGTAATTTTCTGATTAAATTGTGTTATTGGTCATAAGGTGTTACAAGGTATTTAGTTAAGGTTTCAGAAGCCCGGTTGTCTGGGTTTTATGTTAGAATGTAAAATTAATGCTGTGTAACATCTCTTTCTCGTTAACTGCAGCTCTGCTTTATGAATTGCTATACGAGAAGGTGTTTAAAACTGACGTCAGTAAGATCTTGATGGGCCTGGATAGCTCTGAAGTAGCGGATGAAGAGAACAGTGAAATATCAGATTCTGAGGATGACAGCTGCAAGTAAGAGTGACTTTGTCCTAAAGTACCTTTGTAGTGCCATACAAGGAAACAGCACAGTGAACGTTTTTGTATGGAGTTGCCTCACTGAGTGAGGTATTAATGGTATTTCTAAAGTACAGCAATCTGCAGTAGAAGTTTCTTTTTTTCCTGCCACTACTGTTACCTCATTTCTATTATGGGACTGTTTCTTTCGGAATTTGATTTTTTGTTTATTTAACTTCGTTTTTGCTAAGCATCTGTTTCTGTGTAGTCATGATGCATATATCTCTGAAATAGATTTGATTCTACCTATGTGTGTGTTGGGGGACTTCCCTCATAGCTCAGTTGGTAAAGAATCCGTCTGCAATGTGGGAGACCTGGGTTTGATCCCTGGGTCGGGAAGATCCCCTGGGAAAGGGAAAGGCTACCCACTCCAGTATTCTGGCCTAGAGAATTGCAAGGTCACCAAGAGTTGGACACGACTGAGCGACTTTCACTTCTTATGTATGAATATTCTTAAGTTTTCAGATTAGGCTGTTAATTTAAGTAACCAGTGATGAAAAATGGCCATTTGGATTTCCTTGACTTTCTTTGTTTTCTTTCTTAGATAATGCCTCCTCCTCTTTTTATATGATACAAATCCCAAGTTGGAATATAAGTATATGTGAACAGCTCTGGATAGTAATGTTTTTTATTTATGTTTGTTAATGGTGTGAATAAACACCTTTTAACTTAGAGTCTGAAACTTATTTTTCTTTTCCACTTAAGACATACAAGGTAGTGGCTAAGAGCTTGGGCTGTGGACATTCTGACCTGGTTTCATTCCTGGGTTCCTGCCAACTAACTGAACTTAGGGCAAGTTGCTTAAAGCCTCAATCCCTTAGATATAAATGAGGATATGTCAGTATTTCTTTAAAGTAGATAATGTATAAGAATTAAATGAGATGTACGTGTACAATGCACAGCCCAGTTCCTAGGTATAGTGTCCAATGTGTATGAGTTTTTATCAGTGATATTAAGGAATGTACTTTGTATGTTCTAAGAACCAACCGATTTTATCCTCAGTGAAGCTGAAAGTTGTATTATTCTTTTTGTATGAAAGTATCCTGTGATGTTATGTACTGTGAAACTAGAGGAAGATGAAATTAAGCCTCAGGATATCTAATTCTTTATTAAAGACTTACAAAATATATCTCCTTGTATCTGTGATTCCAGGCATTTCTTAAATGGTTGATCCTGATTGAAAGTTTGATTGACTACTATTTCTACTTAAGAAAGAAATGAGTACAAAAAATAAAACCTATTTTGTTATAGAAAAAAAAAAAAGAAAGAAATGAGTCAGATTAAAATCTGGGTCTACCATTGTAAATTAATCCTAGAATTGATTAAGTGACTTTGCACAGATGGAAATTGTACTCCATGGTTTTCTGCAGGTGCCCAGTATGATGAAAGCATGTTATGGAACATACAGGAAGTTGGGCTGGAGAATGAATGACTCACTTGTTTCACTTATCACCATGAGTTGATGTGGGGGGACTTCAGCACATGCCCTGTGGTTGTGATGGCTTTAGCAGAACTGGGTCTGGGATGGCACCTGGCAGGTGAAGTGTGGAGTAGAGGCTAGTAAGCTTGTAGAAGTTTACCAGGGATGGTGTGTACATTGTCATGATCAGTTTTCCTTTTTATGCTGCATTACTGTAGCCCTGGGACTGTGGAGGCCTTTCTGATTAATTTTTTGTTGCGTTATTACGGTTTCCTTTACTAGTGTCATGTCTGGCTTAGGGAAGACAAAGGTCCATTTAGGGGAGACTGCTCCATAATCATGGCAAGATGGATAGGCATGGTATGGTAATGAGGAGAAAGCAAGGATGCCCTTGTTCTTCTGTGCCTGGATGCTTTTCACATTTGTATTGATACATCTGGAAGTATTAGGAATTAGGGTGCTTTTTAAATCCAGGCTCTAGATAGATGGAGTCCCTGAAATATTGCTGCATTTAGGGGTGTAACTCCTAAGGACTAGAGACGAATTTGTTAAGGAGGAGGACGTGTATGACAGAAGAATACAGGTAGCGTCTCACCTTACCACCCAGTCAGCTGCCCGCCCTCTGTCCAGCCTCACCAGCCTCTTGGCTGCCTCAGGGTCTTTGCACTTACTTCGCATCCGCCTGCAGTACTGAACAGCCATACGGTTTGCTCTCTCGTCACCTTTAATTCTTTATTCTAAAAGATATTTTTCTTTATCCCATTTTTAATTATTTGAGCTAGGCCTCAACACTGTAGTTTTTCTACCTTTTCCCCCCCAAAGCACTTAGCAGCATTACTGATTACTGATTACTTATTTAGCTTGTATCTACTTTCACCGGACTGTATATCTTGTAGTGGAGTATTTTGTTTAATGGAGCCTCATCTGTTGATGGACTTTCCTGGTGGCTCAACAGGTAAAGAACCCACCTGCCAGTGCAGGAGACACAAGAGATGCAGGTTCGATCCCTGGGTCTGAAAGGCCCCCTGGAGAAGGAACTGGCAGCTCAGCCCTGTGCTCTTGCCTGGAAATCCCATGGACAGAGAGCAGTCGAGCAGGCTGCAGTCCACGGCATCACAGAGAGCTGGACACGACTGAGTGCACACACTTACATACACACGTATCTATTGATATATTTTTGAAAGGAAGTTTTTACATTAAATGTTCTTATAAACTCAGTTACTCTATCATCCCACATTTCAAAGTTTATTTCTGTTTTTCTCTTCTTGTTGATTAAGTCAGTACGAATTACTGATAAAAATCTTTGACTGGAGAAGGAAATGGCAACCCACTCCAGTACTCTTGCCTGGAAAAGTCCATGGACAGAGGAGTCTGGCAGGCTGCAGTCCTTGGGGTTATATGACTGAGCATGCATGCATGAGGAGGGTGGAGGAGATGTGTTGGTAGCAATAAACTGGTAAACTTAAAAAAAAATCTTTGACTTAGATGCATAGACACATACATGTACATCGTGTATGTGTTTACATATACATATGCACTGTTCAGTTTGTTTGAGCTCCTTGGAATATGGTTTTGACTTTGTGGACTGTAACTGAGATTTTTCTGTGAGGTTAGAGTTAAGTGATTGTGTGTGAACATTTTTATACTCCTGATGATACCTTTATTTCTTCCTTTGTAGGAGTAAGCCTACCACTGTTAATGATGTGAATGGATTTAAAACTTTGTCCGGTGATCAGGTATTTTTATTTAATGCTTTTTCTTCAATGTAAGAAAACCTACGAGTTTATAGCCTTAATTTTTTTTCTCTTTTCTGGTACATTTTCAGTAGAGTCAGGATCATCTCATAAGACATTTTTTTGGTGACTTCCTAATTTTTAAAGCTTTCTTCTTTTGATTTTTCTCTTATACATATCTCAGACACATTTTAAAAGCATTTCTGTGTTGATTTGGCTTCTTGGCTTTGTTTACTTAGCACCCGAAAAGCAATGGAAACTCGCCTAGCCTTCCTTTGTCTAGAAAGGTTCTTAAGTCACTCAGTCCAGCAGTCTATAGAAATGTGGAATATGAAATTTGGCTAAAGTCTAAACAAGGTGAGTTTAAAAAAAAAATCTGTATTTTCCAGAAATTTGCTTTGAGGCCCTTGAAAATGATTGCATCAACTTGATATTATGCTGATATTCTTTACAGCTCAACAAAAGCATGATTATTCCATTGCTGCTGGCTTACAGTATGAAGTTGGAGATAAATGCCAGGTAAGTGATTATGTAGAGGAAGAAAAGATTTTACTTGAAATCTTATATATTCTAATAGGAACTAAAAAACAGCTAAGTTTGGATGTGTTGTTAATTTGAGATTTCAGAATATATTTTATTATGTATACATTTTAATAGTTAAACATATTTAGCTTCTGAATGCATTACTAAAATCTTGTGTATCTAAAACTCTGCGGCCCTCCACATGATCTTTAAAGCAGTTCAGTCTCTGATAGCACTTGCTGCAAAGATGTAGCATAACATTTTAGATTTTTAGATATTTTCATTACAGCTGGGCTTCCTGGGTGGCACTGGTGGTAGAGCCCGCCTGCCAGTGCAGGAGACCTAAGAGACCTGGGTTTGATCCTTGGGTTGGGAAGATCCCCTGGACGAGGGCTTGGCAACCCACTCCAGTGTTCTTGCCTGGAGAATCCCATGGACAGTGGAGCCTGGCGGCCACAGTCCATGGGGTTGCAAAGAGTCAGATACAACTGAAGCAACTTAGCAGCATACTTCAAAGCCGTAACAGTCACATTTTAGATTTTTAGATACTTTTGTTATAGATGGCAGATAATGTACTGAAATTGATTCAGACTTGACACTACAGGTCAGTTTGGTTTATGAAAGTCATCCTGAGAAGTTTTGATGCAACATATAGTTCTTTTGTTGGATTGAGAAAAGAAAGGGAACAGTTAGGGAAGTTTTGCCTTTTACTTTGAATAAGCTACTGCTCTGGGCTTAACTGCAGCTGACTGTTAAAGGGGAAAGTTGAGTTATGTCAGCGTTTCTTACATGGAGTGATACTGCACCCCTGCCTCCCCTCTAGCAGTGTCTGCAGACACTTTTGGTCATTACACCTGGGAAGGTACTACTGATACCTCGTGGGTAGGTATGAGGGTAGTGAGGCCAGGCGTGGTGCCAGACGTCCTAGAATACACAGGACACCCGCCGTTCCCCCGCTCCCCGCCCCCCAGCACACACACACAGCAAGGGCTCATCTGGTCCACAGTGTTAGTAATGCCAAGGCTGGAGACACGTCCGTGAAAAATGTGACTCACTCTAAAACAAAAAGAGCCCCCATACACCAAAAATACTGTTATTTGGAAGATAATTGTCATCAAGAATGGTTCTCATCAAAAAGTGTTACCTTTTAAAAACTATTTTGAAGTAGCCATTGAGACATTTCTTCTTGACTTGTGGAGGAAATAGTCATTCCTTCATGATAAAGTGGTTTGTGAAAGGTGTCTGGGGGACCAGGATGTTTCTGGGTGTCAGTGACAGACTTTGCCTGAAGGACGTTCAGTAGTGTGCTGATTCGAGGGTGTTTTAAAGTCGAGGAAGAGGATGTGACTCTTTGAGGGTTGTCAGAAACGTGCTCCAAGCACAGAGCCGAATCTGGGAGTCTCTTACTATAGTGATTTGGGGAACTTGGCAGAGAACAAAAGAGAAGAGGGCCCTCCCTCTTCATCCTTCTTAGTAGCGAAGAGAAAGTACTTATTTTGTACTGTTATCGCTAAAAGTGTTCTAGTCATTATTTTAAACCGAGCATGTTTCATTTGAGGTTTCGGTTTCTTTCGTAAAGTAGATGCTTTTGATAAAGCAGAAGGTAAAGCAGGTGCTTGTTTTAATTTTTTCCTTTTTAGAGTATTTTCCTTTTCTACTACTTGACTATTTCACTTGGATAAAATTTAATTAAAATTTTATTCCGTCAAATTTTATGGAAAGTGTGAAAATGAAAGTGTTAGTCATTCAGTTGTGTCTGAGTCTTTGCAACCCCATGGACTGACCGTAGCCCGCCAGGCTCCTCCGTCCATGGGATTCTCCAGGCAGGAGTACTGGAGTGGGTTGCCGTTTCCTCCTCCAGGGGATCTTCCTGACCTAGGGATCGAACCCAGGTCTCCTGCATTGGCAGGTGGACTCTTTACTGTCTGAGCCACCAGGGTCTCTGACTTGAAGATGACTTTCATTTACTCAAGCATGTAAATGTAGTTTCAATTTGAAATAAAAATTAGCTTCAGAAAATCTTTTTTATTTTTAAACTCTTGAGGAGAGGGAAGCAGTATCCTACTGTGACCAAAGAATAAAGTCTCAGCTTGAGGCCTTGGAATGGGCAGCTGCTGTCCCTCCGCCTCTGGCTGGGAAGGGTGACTGTTTGGTGCCATTTTAGTACCCATCCAGGAGTTCTGGTGTTCTCGAGTTCTGGACCCAGTCCCCCTGCGGATGCTGAGGGCTAGTGGTACTGATAACGGGAGGAGGTGGCTTTGAGCAGGGCTGTGTCCGTCCGGCTGCTGGAGCAGGGTTGGGGGTGCCCTCTGACAGAAGGAAAGCAAAAGACTGACTCCTGTCGTGATGTGCTGTTGTGTAATAACCAACTGTATGTTAGAGAAGAGACGATGCATCTATTTTTAGGGAGCAAAAGGTCACATTTACATATTACAATGTTTTAAATATTGGAAAAGTGAGAAGATACTGTAATTTTCATAACAGGTGCTCGCCTTTGTTGAGCGGTTGCTGTGTGCAGACTGGTGTCCTTTATATGTATCATGCGTACCTCATTGCACCTCCGTGGTGCCTGTGATGTAGAGACTATAATTAGCCCTGTCTTGCATATGAGCGCAGTGAAGCACAAGATAAGTTACTTGCCCGAGGTCATATTGCTGCTGAGTAGAAAAGTGGGACCTGGAATCCTGGCTGTGGTGCCACAGCCCTGCCTTCAGAACCTTGACAGTTAAGAAAAAAAAATGGAAAAGTAAGCAAAGGAAAGTATTTTGGAAAGAGATACACAGGTCTGGGAGATCAGAGACATTATGGTATACTCTTTTGAACTTAGTTTTGTTTTTAACTATGTGTGTTCCTCTACGCTTCAGTTGAAAATGAAATGGCAGTTTAAAAATGAATCATTGATGCTAAAGCATCAGGTGACTGATTTTTCTTTGTGCATTTGTTCAACAGGTTAGGTTGGATCACAACGGAAAATTTTCTAATGCAGACTATCAGGGGGTTCACTCTGAGAATGGGCCAGTTTTGGTCGAAGAACTTGGGAAGAGGTACGTACTGTTGGCAGCTGAGGTGTTGATTCACTTTCTCCTCCACTTCGCCTGATGTAGTCATGAGCATTTCTAAATGTTCCTGTGTGAATTCGGTTAAATGTGCTGCGGGTGTATGCAGAAATAGTTTTTTAGATCTCTTAGAAAAGTAGTTTGTGTTCAAATTTAGTGTTTATGTGTTAAGGTATTTTAAATAAAAGATGTTTATTTCATTGCTTACTGTTTAAAATGTGCCATTTTTCACTAAGGCAGTTTGGAAAACTAAGTCTATTGTAACTGAAGCTTTGGAGGACAGGGACAGTATTCATTTCTGATTTCATACATTGCTCCCTTGCGTAGTTTTCAGTAAATGATTAGCTGGTGGAGTGAAACACTTGCTATGATACAGTGTTACTTTAAAACAACTTTTGTTTCAGCTGCTGCAGCTTTTATTTGATGAAAAGGTAGTAAGCTCCACCTAGACTTTACCATGGAGAATTTCAAACATACACAACTGAGGAGGGTAGTCAAGTGAATCCCAAGATAACTGTCACCCTAGTTTCATAGCTAACAGCAGGTTTGGCATCTTTTCTGATCTCTTCTCCCTAACCCCTTAAAGCAGAGGAAAGGAGCAGAATTGGAATGTTTGAAAGTAGATCCCAGGCGTCACACCATTGCTCGTAGATGCTTGTGTGCCTCCGTGCATCTCTAACACAGTGAAGCTTCTCCATTCCCCATCCTTAGCTACAGCACTGTCATCACACCTCTCAGAATGGTTTTCTTTCCTTCCTTCTCTAACCTTTTGCTTAGATTGTGATTAAGACCCCTCAAGCTTCTGTTCTTTTAGGTTAGAAAGTATGTTTTTGACCTTTGTCATTTGATTATAATTACATGTGGATTGCTGAATGCTTTGTACTTTATAGTGTGTTTTTACTATACGAACTAAGACTGGAGAGTCTTAGGTAAATTGAGCATAAAAGATTTATGTAGACTACTTAAGTGCAGTCTCAGTAGAGTACTTCGGGTTACTTCAAGTCTTTTTCTCCTCTTTAAAGATACTCACCGAAGAACCTCAAACCGCCTCCCTCAGAAAGCTGGAACACAGTGTCAGGGAAGAAGATGAAAAAACCTCCTTCGGGACAGAATTTCCATTCTGGTAGGAGCTCATCAAGTTAGTCTTCCTTTGGGGGAGGGGATGGTGCTTGGAGTTGCTGACAATAGGAGAGTTACGAAGTATTTTTGGCTTCGTGTCACAGACGTGGATTACAGAGGGCCAAAGAACTCAAGCAAGCCAATAAAAGCACCGTCAGCTCTACCTCCTCGCCTCCAGCACCCCTCGGGAGTGAGACAGCACGCATTCCCCAGTCACTCTGCTGCGCCACAGTCTCAGAAAGCCTCCAGCGAGCACAAAAGTCTTAGCAGGACACCCTCACAGATCATAAGGTAACCTTCCTGAATGCAGGAGAGCTGGAAGTTACGTGAGCCAGCGTTTCTTATTTGCTGTGTTCCACGCAATTAGAAAGTTACAATTTTTTGTTCATATACTTGTCTAAAGTCTTAATAGTAAGAGTATTGTTGATAAAATAATGTGAGAATTTCAGTTCTTTATTACTGTCATCACACAAAGTAATTTTGTAGTTTAAGACATTTTGATTTTTTTATTTTTCACACGACAGCAGGATACAAATTGTATTCAGGTTACCATAGATTGTAAACCAGGAGTCACGGGAACATATCTGGGGACATATAGTGAGGTGCAGAAATGTCATGGTTTAAAGGTATTGAAATCATAGTCTGTTCTCTTATCATGGTGGAATTCTTGGAAATCAATATCAAAAGATGTTTGAAAATAACCCACATATTTTCAGAGAATGAGATGGTTGGATGGCATCCTTGACACAATGGGCGTGAATTTGAGCAAGCTCTGGGAGACTGAAGAACAGGGAAGTCTGGTGTGCTGCAGTTCATGGGGTTGCAAAGTCGGACACAACTTAGTGACTGACGGCAGCATATACTTCAAGTGCAGTGTGACATTTGCTATGAGAGATCTTTGACTTAGCCATTGAAAGCCTCAGTAGAGTTAAAAGACTGAAAGACACAGAGGGTGATTGCAGAGAAGAAAGCATTTAAATGAAAAATTAATATCAGAATGAGAACTCAATTTCAGTGACACTTTTAAAACCCCATGTATTTGGAAACTAAATGTCCACTTTCAAATAATGGGTATATCTAAGAAGCTAAAAGAAGGAAAATTAGAAAATATTTGTAGCAGAATAAAAATGGAAAGAATTTATCAGAATTGGTTGCATGCAGCTGAAGCTGCTCAGTGCAGCTAAATACAATGTGGAATCTTGAATAAAGTATGAAAACAAATAATGGACACTAACATAAAATTTTCTGAAATTTGAACAAAATCTGTAGTATAGTTAATAATACTGTATCATGTTAATTTTTTTTTTTAACAACATAGTATTTCTTTATATTCTCAGGATTGGATTAGAAATTAGACATCTTTATTTTTGAATAACTTTTTTTCAGTGATTTAGATCTTATCCTAGACGGATCTTTTCCTGACGCTGCATAGTTTTCTGGTAGTCTGTAATGTGTTAAACATTGAATTCTAGCTTGCACTCCTAGTTCCCTGCAGGGTGAGGTTAGTTTCTTTTACATATGAACTTAAATCATGCAAAGCAGTCAGCTTGCTTTGTTCTGGTAGTTTACGACTGTGCGGTCACGTGTCTAATACTGAACAGGTTGTTGTGATCATGAGATATCAGCATTCTGACTGAATGTGCAGAGGCACGTGCTTCTGAATATGCTTCCGGGTCATGGTTTCCTGTGGTGGTGGTCTTAAATTTCCCCTAACCTGCTCTTCCTCCGAGTAGCTTATGGAGCGGCAGCATAGTTTATGTTCTTCGGAGGAGCGTCATTTGAGAGAGTGTGTCTTAGGTGGAGGCCGTCCTCTTCTGCATCCTTGGCCGTGTCCCCTGTGGGTGCTTGTGGCTGGTGCCTTCCCCATCCGAGGTCGACCTCCCCAGTTACCTGAGCGGCTGTAGGACTGGCTATGCGCTTGCCAGGCTCTGGTCTTCAGTTTCTTTATTTTTGGCTTTTGGGCATTCCCATTTCTTGGGAGCGTCCTTAACACTTTGTCACTGAAGATAGTTCATGTACCATCTTTAAGACAGAGTTGTAGGTTCTTAGGCTGACACAATGCCAATACTATGTCGTTTTCTGGGGCTCTGGAAGCCTGCTACCCCGACAGGCTTAAAACCACAGAATGAGTTACAGTTCTGGAGGCTGGAAGTCTGAAGTCACGGTTTGGTAGGGCCTGCCCTCTGAAGGTTCTAGGGGAGAATCTGTTCCAGGCGTCGCCTACTTTTGGTGTTGTCCACAGTCCTCGGCAGCCCTTGGCTTGCGGATGTAAGTCTCTGCCGCCATCATCACGTGTTCTCCCTGGATGTCTCTCTTCTGGTAAGGAACCCGTTATAGTGGGTTTCAGGCCTGCCCTGCTCCACGGTGACTTCATTTTGGTGTGATCACTCTTGCTGCAGAGACCCTGTTTATGAAGTCACACGCACAGACCCCAAGGGGCGGGACTTGAACATGCCTTTTTGGGAGACAGTTCCAATTCATAACTCACACTGACACCTCACACCCATTACATTCTTCTTTTTACTTGAACAAACTATTTAGGACAGAAAATTGATATCGTTCAAAATCCAAAACACTCAAAAATTTGTTCTGATAATTCTCCTTGCCATCCCCATTAATCCAAATGGTCTAGCTTCCTTCTGCGGTTGTTGTTCAGTCACTAGGTTGTGTCCAACTCTTTGCGACCTCATGGACTGGGCACACAAGGCTTCCCTGTCCTTCACCATCTCCTGGAGTTTGCTCAAACTGATGTCAATTGAGTCGATGATGCCATCCCACCATCTCTTCCTCTGCCATCCCCTGCTCCTCCTGTCCTCACTCTTTGCCAGCATCAGGATCTTTTTCAGGGAGTCAGTTCTTCGAATCAGGTGGCCAGAGTATTGGAGTTTCAGCTTCAGCATCAGTCCTTCCAGTGAATATTCAGGGTTGATCTCCGTTAGGACTGACTGGTTTGGTCTTCTTGCAGTCCTAGGGACTCTTAAGAGTCTTCTTCTCTTTCTGCGGAGGCAGTGTTAACAGATTCTTGTGTATCCTAAGGGCAGGGATATTTTAACATGTGTAAAAAGTGTGTATGTATTCATAATCTGATTGTCCGGAAATTCTAATGATAACAAATGATTAAAAATCAATCATAAGAAAGAATTACCTCATGTCTCAAGGGTGGTCAGTACATACACAGCCCTGAGAAATGGCCTGATTACAGAGTAATCAGGGCCTTGTGTTCCTGGCACATCCAGTGATGGTGGGCAGGGGCGATGGGGGCCCGTGGTGGGTTGGTTACCTCCCCCAAAAGATGGAACTGATGCCCTTAATCGCCTTGTTGTGGCTTAAGTCTGACATACGGACACTGACCAGACTCCACTGGCATCTGAAGTCTTACTCACTAGAGGCAGAATACCCAAGAGGACCAAATGGCTGACTCACATGCACTTCTGTTTCCCACAAACCGAATTTTTATCCAGTGTGCCTTCTAGTGGTTTTTCCAGTCTGACAGGAATTTGAATGGTCATATAGGTGTTGTTTTCTTGTTTGTGTTAGGCATATATTACTTGGTATATAAAAACACTTGATGGGAGAAGGAAATGGCAACCCACTCCAGTATTCTTGCCTGGAAAAACCCACGGACAGAGGAGCCTGGCGGCCACAAGCCAAGGGGATGAAAAGACTCAGAAACAACGCAAGAAACTGAACAGAAAACGGCAAAGACCAAAAAACCACAAGAAAGAAAAAAAAAAACAAAAACAAAAAAACACACATAATGGAAGAAAACAGAGGAAAACGCAAAAATACAAAACAGCGGAGATTATGAAACACAGCCAGAGAAGATGTAAGAAAACACATAGATCTTCAGTGAGAAAGAGAAAAAAAAGGGAACAGCGAGAAAAAATTTGCCTAATACATTAAATAAACAAACGCCAGAGGATTAAATAAAGCAGACTGTAAAAAAGGAAAGTCAAAATATAGAAGCGTTAAGCAAAAGAAGCAATACAGCAAACCTGCATACAATCCAGCAGGGCCTGAAGACAACTATGGACAACACAAATGGGAAACTACCACTAAAAAATAAAAGATAAGTAGGAGGGGACAGAAGACAGGCGGACCGCCAAACCTCCTAAAATACACAGCACACCCACAGTGCCCCCGCCCCCCGACAAACAAAAAAAAAACAAAAAAAACCAGCAGCAGGGCCACAGGGCCAGCAATGCCAAGACGCGAAAAACGACCGACAAAAAGGGCACGAACCCCAAAACAAAAACAGCCCACACACAAAAAAAATACTGCTATGTGGAAGATAAGGGGCAGCAAGAAGCCTTCGCATCAAAAAGGGTTACCAAGTAAAAACTATGCAGAAACAGCCAGCCAGACATGACCCATCGACGGAGGCAGGAAACACACAGGCCTGAAAAAGAAAGGGCCAAGAGAAAGGGGCCAAACGCACCACCATGTTTCTGGCACCCAAGAACACACGGTGGACATCCGCCCCGTTGGAGTTAGGATGTGGTTTTAAGTGGGACTGAGGATGTGAAACGGCCATTCTTTGTTTCAGAGGGAAAAGAATCAGATGATATCAGTTGTGTCCTTCCCGCTCTTTTTAGGGAGATGGTGTCTCTTCACATATTTTTCTCGCAGGCTTTGGATTTTCATTTCCCACTGTTGTGAAACTGTTAGACATGGAAGAAATAGTACTCATATCGCCTGTAATAGTTACATAAAGTGTTAGGGTTATGTTATGGGCTACTCGACTCTATTCATGAACTTTGTTGTCTCCTCCTTTGACCAAAATTATGTTGAAATGACAGCAGTACAGTTAGTATCTCACCTCGTGCATTTCCCCCCCCCACCAGCTTTCATGTTCCCTTGATAGTGTTATTAAAAAGCAGGTAGGTAGTCCTGGTGTTTCTTTTAACATTGTCCTTTACTTAGAATAGAAAATTAGAATGCTTTTGAGGCCTAAACTAGTAACTGTCCCTTTCCTTTGAAAGAGAAGTCTTATGAAAATATTGGAATATGGCATAAAGAAAAGATACAATGCTTATATTTATGCTCCAATGAGAAGAAAATTCTGTGATAATGTGTATCATTTGGAAGTGAGTTATATTTTTCTTTTCTTGTATTGTAAGTTTGTCGTCTTGACTCTGAAATCCCAATAATTCAGGTGCTTCCTCTTGCTAAACATTTGTTAATCGGGCAGCTAAAAGTTCTGTAATGTCACAGTGTAGCTAAGATAGCAAATACTTGTATTGCTGAAAGTGTTATTTTAGATTATTTTAGGTATGCAATACATTGTCTTTTTTTCATCCAAGAATGTCTTATTTGACAGAAAAGCTGATCGTGAGAGAGCTGAGGATTTTGATGCCACGACTCGAGAACCTAACTATTTCGGCCTCTCTCCAGAAGAGCGCAGAGAGAAGCAAGCTATAGAAGAGTCTCGTTTACTCTATGAGATTCAGAACAGAGATGAACAGGCTTTCCCAGCACTTTCTGTATGTATATAAAAAGGAATTGGAAAAGTTACCCTTCAGAAGTCTCTCCTTTATATGGTTTTTGTACTCAACCATAGTTTCTAGTGGCAGACGAATCATTTTTACACTGAAGGTTACCTTGGGGATGATGCAGCTGCCCCTCCTTTTCATGTTCATGAGGCAAATGAGGTCTAAAGATACTTCTAGTTGGTGGCAGAGTTGAGGCGAGCTGATTGTTTATCTGACTTCAAGTTGAGTATTTTGTTTTGAACTGAAGCTTGTTTTTGCTAGCCAGAGCCAGTGACTTACCCTAAGCAGTGGAGGTGTACAATTTAGTTAAAAGATAACTTCTGTAAAATTGGGACATTCTTTTCAGTGTTCCTTGTCAAACATACCCAGGACCGATTAAGAGAAACCTGGTACACACAAGTGAGAGCTGTGGTTCAGAGCAGTCACTGCTGGAGACGGTGGTGGGTGCAGGCTGGGGCTTTGCTCTTGCCCCCTGTATCAGATGCTTGATGGGACGAGACAAACGTTCTCTGCCTTTGAGTGTCTTAATTCTTTTGAGGGAGACAGACGGGGAAGCAGTAAATGCTGTGTGAGGAGGGTCATTGGCACACAGGGACAGGGTAGCCGCTTGAGCGCGGTCACTGGGCTCCCTGAGCCTGCGGTCTGACAGCGGTGAGTGGCACTAAATGGCTTGTGATGCAGCTGTGGGCACCTGTGAGGTGTGAGCGGTGGTCGGAACACTTTCTTAACAGTGCAGTAAATAGGCAGAAGGGAATGTTATAGAAGCTACCTTGTAATACACATGTGTATGTGTATATGTGTGTGTATATTATATATTGGTATGTGTATTTATATCAGTATAAAACGTTAAAGCTCCACTCATTGTTTCCTGGCCTCTGCGGAATTCTTCAGAGGTGGAGAGGCTGAGCTGAGACCAGCTCACCTGGAGTAGCATAGTTCAGGCTGGCCCAGGGATAGGAGCCCAGGAATTGTTGGAAGACGTGCCCAAATTCACATGTGAATTAGGCATGGCCTCTATTCTGAGTGTAGTTTATCTCTGTGATATGTTATTTTTCCATAATATTTAGATAATAAACTACCGATCTTTTAAGCTTCTACTCACAGTTTTTTGTCTTTTTTTCAGTTATTGAATGGTGAGAAACTACTACTATAGTGTGGGAATAGACGGTGAAATGTTTCGATTGTTAAAATGAGGTCTCCATGCTCACTGTGTTCAAACAGGCTTCTGAGCCTGTCTTGGACTTGATAGCGACTCAGGTTTGTCCTCTAGAAAAGGCCTGCTACTGAGGGCTGGGATCTCTTCTCAGCTGTGTCCTGATCCCAGGAGAGCAGAGGCCTTAGTGGTCATTGAGCTGAAAAGCCAGACTTACTCCCGTCCCCGTGCTTCACCAGTTAGAAGCTGGAGCTCAGCAGAACTTGGGGGGCTTTGCTGACAGTCAGGGGTATTTTAGTGGGAAGCGTCCTAGCGACTGTACCTGCCTCTTGCCCTTGGGGCCGCCTTCCCACTCCCCGAGGACCGTGGCTCTGCGGTGGCTGCTTTTGAAGGTTGGCATGAAGGGTGCTGTTCTTTGTGCAAAGAATGGAAATGTCAGTTGCATAGTACAGGTTCGGTCACAGTGGCTTCTTGAAATGTTGGCATATGAAGAAGTCTTAACTACTAGGCTAAGTGTCTGATTGCCTCATCCTTTGGCTTATTAATAAGCCAGTTACTGTAGAGTATTTAATATGAGCCCTAGGTTGTATTTTTTTTGTAGGCTGGGAAGTTTACCGATACACGGTGATGAAATTTGAGATTTTTAGTCAGATGTGTGAACAGTAAGATTAATTAAAAGACTTCTGTTCATATACTTGTGAGTAAATTTTTTAACACCAAGTGTTGGGTTTTGTTTAAGAGTTCATCAGTCAGCCAGTCAGCTTCTCAGAGTAGCAACCCAGGCATCCAGAGAAAATCATCCCATGGAAGCGATCGAAAAGGAAGCAGGCGGAGAATGGACACCGAAGAACGGAAAGATAAAGGTATGTTATTTCATCATTTGAAAGCAGATGCTAGAGATCTGTTTCTGGCCTAAAGTCAGCCATGGGGAAAAGAACTCTTACTTTTTAATGATTGAGCAATGTACTGTCACATCTCACTGTTGCAGAGAAGCCTTGACTCAAGCTAAATAAAGTGTGGTGTATAATTGTGAAAACTATTTACTTCCAGCTTTCTCTGTCTTCATGTTTTGTTGTTCTGTCTTCACACCTGACTAGTGGCTGATGCTGGCTTTTTTTATCTTGATCTGTTATAGACTCTGTCCATGGACATATTCCCTTGGATAAAAAACCTGAGCCAGGCACATTGGAGGTAAATGTTTTGAATACTAATCGCGTCTTTTTCTTTTTCCTTAACACTGTGATAGTGTGGAAAAAGATGGAGATGACTTCAGCATTTTATAACAAGTGGTGTTGAGTCACTAAGTTGTGTCCAGCTCTTTTGTGACCCCCATGGACTGTAGCCTGCTAGGCTCCTCTGTCCATGGGATTTTTCCAGGCAAGAATACTGGAGTGGGTTGCCGTTTCCTTCTCTGGGGGATCTTCCAAACCCAGGGGTCGAACCCATATCGACAAGCACATTCTCTACTACTGAGCCATCAGGGAAGCTGTAACAAAGTGTTATGGAAATAGAAAAGCAGAAAAAAATTGGGAGAAAGTTACAATGCTTGAGAAAAATTGATGCACTCACAAATTGTAACCATTTATTCTGGGGTGCAGTACTTCAACTGCCATGATGACCTTTACTTTCTGTTACTCCATAGTATTACAGATTGAGATTTTTAAGGGAAAAATGCTGTTTCGGAACCATGCCCCTAGTAAAAACTGCGCTATAGTTTGATGTGATAAAGACATGCCGGCAAAATTACCTACCTGTTGAAGACCAGATACAATTGAAAAAAGTACTCACTTGTTAGAGGATTCAGTTAGATGCAGATAGGTGAGCTATAGGGTAGCACGGTTATCCCAGAATGTGGGTCTTTGAAATAGAAAATGACCCCCCCCTTTTTTTTTTTTGCTTCCAAAGAATATTAGCAATGATAAGTGTGCAAGAATTTCATCACCATCAAAATCAAAGAAATTAGAGTGCCCACCTCCTACAGAGCAAGTAAGTACATTGTCGCGTTTGACATTGAACGCTACTTAAAAACAGAAAATAATAGGAAATGGGAGAATTTATTATTAGATCATGATTTGGAATGCAATTACGATTTTCCTCTAATTCTGTTCTTGGTTAATCTGGAATGGTCTCAATGGAATGTTTTCTGGACATAGAAGCCATTCTTCTGAATTGAAGTTGAATAAGTTTTTATCTGGTACTTTATGTTGCCTTTGTGATGAGTTGGCTTGAAAATAAGATTTTTGAGGGAAAATTTGTTTTCTTCCAGAATTTGAAGAGACAACTCTGCATGCTTACCAATTATTTCATAGAAGAGAAGGAATGTAATGATTGAAGAGATTAGAAAGGACGTATGTCTAAAGGGCAATACTGCCAGCTTACAGATTTAATGATGAAAGAACCTGAGTTCTAGCAGATTGTTTTGCTTCTTGGTCTAATACAGGAGTAGAGAAAGTTCTTATCCTTTGTCTTTTAGTTAACATCCTTCATGTCAGGTAGAAAGTGTATGATTTTATGTTAGCTCTTTGTGTGAGGAGCTGTTCTAGACTTGTGAATTTCAGGGTGATTTCAGTGAATTTGCTTCTTTGCCTTAAAGCATGTGGTTCAAGTTGCTTTATAGTTTGTTTCTAACCCCACTGGTGACTTCTGTGACTTTTGGTGGGCAATCACTGGATGAAATTTGTTAGTATGGGATTTTTAGCTTCTGTGTTTCTTCTTTCATTTCGAAGACCAGAAGAAAGACCATTTATGTAGAAACTGCAGTTGTGTAAGAGGCAGGCAACTCATGATGCATTCGGTGGTTGAATTGGTGTTAAGTACAATGAACTCTTGTCTTTTTTGCACCCCTTCTTCTTGAAGAAGCCAGCAGAACATGTGTCTCTGTCAAATCCAGCTCCCCTTCTAGTTTCTCCAGAGGTACATCTAACTCCCGCGGTGCCTTCCTTACCAGCCACTGTGCCCGCCTGGCCGAGCGAACCTACAACGTTTGGACCAACAGGTTAGATAAAATTTTTTAAAGTTCATTGAACCAACCAGCAGAAGTCCTCCAAGTCTTGACATTCTTGAGTATGAGCTTGACCTCAGAGCAGAGTCAGGTGCATGGAGCCTCAGAGCTTCTGTGATCTTCCGTACTGCTCTACTTCCCGTGGTGGAGGGCCAGGTTCATGTGGTGCTCATTTGAGATCCGCCCTCACAGTCTCGGGAGCAAGACATCTGACCTCTGGTTGCCCGGCGCTGGCAGTGTAGTTTTCAGTCCCCTGCAACCCCCTCAGCTCTTCACGGCCCCAAGAGACACGGGCTGTGTGTCTTACATGCGTCTGTAAGAGCTGTCATTGGCTCAGAGCCTGTTTTTTGGCCTCGTTCTCTCCTGCATGGCCAGGAGGGTGCGTGGTTGACGTAAGTACTTCTTTAGATTGCTTAAGCGCACGCCGTCTTCCCAGCTGTGTAATGTATGGCATTCCTTACCGTTCAGCCTATTTTATTTGTGGAGGAGAATTATCTTTACCTCTTCATAGCTTCTGATTCCTTTCCCTTTCTTTTGTAGGTGTCCCTGCCCAAATTCCTGTCTTGTCAGTGACACAGACTCTGACTACCGGGCCTGATTCTGCTGTGTCCCAAGCTCATTTGACACCCTCTCCAGTTCCTGTGTCAATACAGGCCGTGAACCAGCCCTTGATGCCTTTGCCTCAGACACTGAGCCTTTACCAGGACCCGCTGTATCCTGGGTTTCCTTGTAACGAAAAGGGAGATCGAGCCATTGCGCCACCTTACTCACTGTGTCACACCGGGGAGGACCTGCCTAAAGGTGAGCTCCTCCTCCACGTTCAGGGTACTTCTATCAGGTCCTGCTGGGAGCGGAGTGAGAACTGTGAGTAGGGGGCAGAGGTCAGGCTGCCGCCTAAGCTGGAGGACTTGCCCGGGGAGGACAGCAGAGGTGCGGCTACCTGTCCGTCTCTCACTCTTGTTTCAGCTTCTCTATGATGGGATACGTTTTTATATGTTTAGTGACTGCAGCATCCCCCATCATGTCTGCAAAAAGCCTGAATCCATTTTGAATTAAGCTTTACTAGTGTTACTAACCAGACAGCTAAACATTGCTGAGTTTTCCGTATCAGTGGTTTGGTGTTTGAACTACTCTTTTCATATCCATGAAAAGATTTTAAAGAAATGAGTATAACACGTGATAGCTGTCCTGTATATACATATATGTATACATATTTTAAAGGAGCTCCTTTTTTTTTTTTTAAGTCATCTGTATTTGTTAGAACTTTTTAAAGCAGAATGTGACTTGAGCACTACATTTCCATTCACAAAACTTGCTCCAAGTTACTTTTCCAGCGGCTTTACAACATGCCTGAGCAGGCTTATAAGTTTGCTACTCTAAACAATATTTTTCTTTGGAAAACAAGCCCTATGTATGGACAGCGACTCCAATCAAGTTGGTTCAGCTTAACACACTAACTTCTAGAGGCCTGGCACATGCAGTCATAACTACAGGGGATGGAAGTTTTAAAAAGTATATCCCAGAAGATGAAAACTTGCTTTAACAAGTGTTTCTTTTAAATATCACGGTATATACTTCAGAACACTTCAGTGACAGAAAATTTTGGTCTACTAAAGAATCCGCTTGATAGCTAAACACTTCAGACCAGGCTCCTTTTAAATTTGTCCTGAAGAGACTTTAGTTTATGTTTTGAACTTTCCTATCTGTAAAACTGCAAGAGTAATGCAGTGACTGCTCTTTACCTGGATATTTGTAGATAATTTTATTAGCGGTTTGATGTTTGAGTCTGTGGGTAACTGGCTAATGTTAAATGAGTACCTGAGCTAGTATTGTCCTGCTAATCTCATTAATGAGTTTTATGTTGATTTTTACTCTTATCCCCCCCAATTTTTATTTTATAATGTTTTAAACCCCACAGAGAAGTTGAAAAAAAAATGCAGTGAACACCTGGGTTTTCTTCGTACAGAGTTGCTTTTAGTCATAAAAAATCTCGGTTTAAGCCATTTTGGGAGTTGGATGTTAGAGTAGAAAAAGTGTATTGAACTCAGAATCACCCTACAGTAACGGAACCTGGTTTTGGTTATATTATAATTTTTAATCCATGTTTTGTATTACAAGCTAGAGAAAACAGTTGAAGTACGCTAAGTTGTCCTTAGAACTATGTATCATTTGAGGATAATTAGAAAAAGCTTTTTGTGAATGTATAATTTTAGTGTTGATGTTACTTATTTTCAGATAAGAACATTCTTCGATTCTTCTTCAATCTTGGTGTAAAGGTATTTACATTTTATCATTTTAAAGTTATTTTAAGTTAATACTTTTTTTTAATACTGTTTTAATTACTAATTCTAACCTCTTGGTCAATAACCTAAGGCTAATCTTATTATTTTAAAAACTAGCATTTTCAGTGCCTTACAGTTTGTTTTTGGTGGTGATTGAGGCTCCACCATTTGTCTGCTTTTCCTGTTAATTGACAGTGATTTAACCCTGTGAGTTTATTTGGGGGAACAGCCTGGTAAAGTGCTCCTTGAGTCGGGTGAAAGGTCTTTACTGTGGGCCCTGGGCGAGTTCCGGAGTATGTCGGAGCCTACTTGTTTCCGGTCATGGAACGGGGCGGTGCTCTTCTCCGCCTCCGTTGTTGAAAGGCTGAGAGGAGGCCAGCCATGGAAGGCAGGGCTCCCTGGCAGAGCAGAGGTTCCTGCGGGAGGTGGTCAGCCTGGAGATGGCTTGTCTTAGAAAGAGCTGGAGAGCTCTGTTCTTGTCAGTGTTGCACTGTCTCCTGTCCGGATTCGTTTCTGTGGGTTCTGAACTGTTAAAACACCAAGTGTTACCATGGCCTACAGACCAGTTCATAAAAACAGACTTGATTTAATTTCTCCATCTACTAATTCATTGCCTAGTTTATATTTCTCTAGTTAATGTTGGCTGTACAGCTGATCAATTAGCCAGTAATCTGGTAAATTTTTCTTTGTTTTGTTGTTTAGGCTGAACCTTTTGCAGGGCAGCAATTTGGAGTATTTCATTTCATTATTTAGCCTTACCTGACTAAAGGTCTAAATTTAATCCTTGCAATTGGATTGCTCTGGGGGCTTCTGTAACCATGGAGTCCAAATGTTGGGGATCACCTACTTCTGTGCCAGCATTTTTAATGATAGAACCTGTTTAGTCTAGGTAGCTAGTGGACTAACGGGGTTGCATACTGAGTTAGTGGTAGAGCCAGAACATGAGCAGAGGTCATTCCAAACAGCCAGCGATTGAGATGTTGGAAGTTGGAGGCTTGATTGCTGCTGATGGTTTTTGAGATCTCTGTCACCCCAGATTCCTTCTGTGCAGTTAGATCTACAGGATGGAATATTGATCCCAATGGTCTGTAGGTAGGCTCATTACTGTCAAGCCTCTGTATCAGGGCTGTGAGTTGGTTTCAGGCTATAAACAAGGAATGGAGTCTTGGCAGTGACTTAATTTTGTGATTCCTCTGCATGTTGTGTGTTAGAGGGGTCTCGTCTTTGGACTGCAGTTTATGGTCTTTTCAGATGCAAGAAACTTTGCTTGAGCCAACTCAAACTTCTTCCCCCGCAACCCCCCCCCCCTGCCCCCATGTAGTTTATCTTACTGTTTTTTGTGTTTTTTTTGTCTCTTCTAGGCATATAGTTGTCCTATGTGGGCCCCACACTCTTACCTGTACCCTCTGCATCAGGCCTATCTGGCAGCCTGCAGGATGTACCCAAAGGTCCCTGTCCCTATGTATCCTCAGAACCCGTGGTTCCAAGAAGCTCCTTCTGCTCAGAACGAGAGTGACTGTACGTGTCCAGATGCACACTTCCCCATGGAGCCCGAGGGCAGCGTGAACGGCCAGATGCCACAGGCAGAGATGGGCCCGCCCGCGTTTCCCTCACCCCTGGTCATCCCTCCGTCTCAGGTGTCCGATAGCCACGGACAGTTGTCCTACCAGGCGGACCTGCAGTCGGAGAACACAGGGCAGCTCCTGCACGCCGACTATGAGGAGTCGCTGAGTGGCAAGAACATGTTCCCGCAGCCGTCCTTTGGCCCGAACCCGTTCTTGGGCCCGGTCCCCATCGCACCGCCTTTCTTTCCTCACGTTTGGTATGGCTACCCTTTTCAGGGATTCATCGAGAATCCAGTCATGAGGCAGAATATCGTTCTGCCCTCCGATGAGAAAGGAGAATTGGATCTGCCCCTGGAAAACCTCGATCTCTCTAAAGAGTGTGCTTCCGTGCCAGCAGCAGAGGAGTTTCCCGAGGCCGGGCGCGAGGAGCCCCATGCTCCCGCTGAAGCCGGCGCCAGCAAGCCGGCCGGCCGCGCCGAGCGCTCCGCGCAGACGCCGAAGGCGGAGCCGGGCCCGGCTCCCGGCCCTCCTGCCGCCGAGGGCGAGGCGCACGGCCCCGCTCAGCTTCTAAACAGAGAGAGGGAAGCTGCGCCCGCGGGACTGGAGCCCAAAAGGACCATTCCAAGTCTGAAAGAAAAACCAGAGAAAGGGAAGGAGCCGAAGACTGCTGCTGATGCGGTCAGCGGGGCCAACTCCGTGGATAGCAGGGTGCAGAGACCAAAAGAAGAGAGCTCCGAGGACGAAAACGAGGTGTCGCACATTCTGAGGAGCGGGCGATCCAAGCAGTTCTACAACCAGACTTTCGGGGGGAGGAAGTACAAGAGCGACTGGGGCTATTCGGGCCGCGGAGGGTACCCGCACGCCCGAGGCGAGGAGTCCTGGAAGGGGCAGCCGAGCAGGAGCCGCGACGAGGGCTACCAGTACCACCGGAACGTCCGCGGCCGGCCCTACCGCGGGGACAGGAGGAGGTCAGGGATGGGGGACGGCCATCGGGGACAGCACACCTGATGTGTCGCTGCCGTGCTTTAGAGTGGAAGCCCTTGCTTAGGTGGAGTGTCTGAAGGCTTTAATAAAAAACAAAAAAACCCAATAAAAACCCAAATTGGAACTCTCTCCTCCCCTCCCCCCCTTACCTTCACTCTCATTCTGGACAGGAGATTTTGGATATGTGTTCAGGGGGCAGGTGAATTCCTGGTGTTGCCATTTTTCTGTCTTCAAAACCTGTCTATTTATCAGGTGACTGCCCCTATAAAAAGTAAGAAATAAGTTTGTTAAAGTATTTTTTATAAACAGCTTAATATGAACCATTATAGATTTAGTGTTTGATTTTTGTTTTTCCTTATATAAGTTTAATTTCAGATGTTGGAAACGTGTGCTTTGTAGTGTTTACTAAAGTGACAAAATATACCATTCGACACACTATAGATTCCAAAACATAACATCGCACCAAATAGAAACGTATATTTTATTATGCAATGCCTTAGTCATAAACTGGGCTCAAACAGGTCTTAGCCTAAAACACTGTTGTCTTTTGAAACGCTTCCAACCCAAAGGCCTTTCATCTCAATATCTGTCAAACTTGAATGATGTCTTCTCTTTAATATTACACATAAGGCAGCCTATTAACCTGTGTCTTAGAAATGTATATAGTTCTTTTAATATTCATAGGGTATATTTTTGAATTTTGGTGAGTATTTGTTGAACTTGAGATTGCATACAAGAATAGATGTTTAAGAAATCATAGGAAATCTAATGAAATGGCTGTTCCCACCAAGAATTCTTAGCACTGGTGTAAATATCATGGTGCCTACTCGAAAGAAATGTAGATGCTATGCATTTTGAAAATAATCTGCATCTGTTAAAACTGCAGAAGTTTTTTAATGCCACTTTAACACTAATGCACTGACAGATTTAAATATTTTGTGAGAAGAAATGTTAAAAAAATTTTTAGCCTGACAGGTTTCTATAGAGTTACTGTGTTTCGTTTTTCTCTTTTGCACCATCAGTTTATGCGTACCACTTGACACTTGCATGTTCAATTTGTCTCGGCTGGAACTTGTACAAAAAAGGATGACTTTGAGTTCTTTTTCTAGAGGATGCTGCTAGACTGTGGATTTGCTTTGCATCATGTAGCTTGTTGCCCCTTGGTAACATGTCCTTGATCCCGCTTCCTTCCTGTCTCTGCAGTATTCATTTAGAAGTTCCCTCTGCATGGTGCACTCTGCTCCCATTGGGAGATTCGAGTCTCTGAATTAACACAGTATTCATTCATCTATGTTACTGTGTAAAAAAATTGCTGTAGCTTCTATTTCTTATTTGTACATATCAGTGTGAAATTCTGCCCTTTTTTATGTTCTCCTTTGATGAGGAAGTTTGAGTGCTATGGAAATAATGTAGTTAATTTCTCTCTGCATGCCATGTGTAGTACACCTAGCCAAAAGTAGTTTGTTTGTTTTTTTTTTTTAAAGCAAATTACTTTAAAAGCAGATACAATTCACTTGAATTTGACAAGCTGAAGCAGATGAGTTTTCTGGGTTCTCTGATAACCTACGGGAATGTTTGGATGCCAGCTCAGCTCAGTGAATCTCCGCTGTACTGTAATAATGGTTATTTACCTCTTTGTTTTAATTACCTGATGTCTGTGTAACTGCTGATTTGAGTAGTGATTAGTGTGTAGATATTTTGTAACATAGGATTTTAGAGAGCACTTTGAAAGATAACATTTTATTGTGATGGTGCTAGGTAGAAATTTGTAGACTGGGATTGTTGTGTGGAAAAGAAAAAGATTGAGAGAACCTGTTGAAAGGAATTTCTGGTTGTCACCTTCTAAGCCAGAAAACTGGGGAAGGTACTGCTTAAGAATTTTTTTTCTTAGTCACCATCAACAGTTGTTATGGAATGAGAAGATGAGAGGGTCCTCCACTTTCAGCTCATGCTTTTACATGTAAGATTAGCTTACCTGATCATTTTAATGAAAATTACATTAGCTGCAGTGACAAGATTTAAAAGTTCAGCAGTGTAGGTTTGATCTCAGGAGTCCCCCCCCCCCCCAAAAAAAAAAAAAAAATTCATTCTGTTCCTGTGTTCTTTGTTTTCTTGACTGGGATTTGATCTCAGTTTCTTCTGGAAATGTTTTAAAATTGGATAGGAAAGAGTACTGTTTGGTTTCTTCACTGTCGCTCTGTCTTACCTCTGTAGTTCCTGAAGGAAATGCCGAGTTGCTTCCTGTTTGCCATCCTCACCTGCAGTGTGTGGTGGAAGCAGTGCTGAGGGAGACTTCCTGTTTGCCATCCTCACCTGCAGTGTGTGGGGGAAGCGGTGCTGAGGGAGACCTCGAGCAGTTGGCACTTCAGTCAGTGGCCTCTGGAATAAGAGGAAAGAACTCTGACTTTTGATTATTCGGTGTTAAAATGATCAGTCTTTGCAGGAAGGTCTGTTTTTCCTTTGGGTTTGATTTTGGTGTATCAGTCCAGGGGTTTTGCCTTATGCTGAGGTCAAACTAGGGCCAAGCAAGCTTTGTCCTCCTCCATTTTAACTGAGTTATATGGTATGTTGACATGAGATAAAAATGTTTCAGAGAAAAGCAAAAGCTTAGAAGTGAGAATCATTTGTACTCGGAGTTGGAAATTATGGAACTTACTCTCTTAACGATCATACACATTTTGAAGAACAAACGTTTAGCATGACCAAAGCTCACTTCTCATTTTTGTTGGCTTTTGCTAAACTTGATTCCAGCCCCTTTCCTTTTAGTATTGTGTGTGTTTCTCCTCTTCATCTCCTCTCAGATAGATCTTCAGTTCTTGTTCCACATACCCCTTGGCGGCAGGATGCTGGCATCTGGGTAGTTCTCATCCTGTTGTTCCCTGTTAACCTGTGTGTGCGTTTTCACGGCTGACCTAAGCTCAGACCCTGCTGGGGCCTGGCCGGAGTAGGTTTTCCCTACTGATATGTCATCATATTTGCTGCAAACTCTATATTCTTGCAGTGTGTTTCCTTTGTGACTCAAGGTTGAATAATGCCTGTGAACTGCAAACTTGCTTATGATTGACTTGGTGCAATAAAGTTCCTTTCTAACCATTTCTGGTTTAGAAAACATTCAGCCATCCTAGAACTAGCAATATTTATTTATGCCTCATTTATTTTACCTTAGTCTTTCACTTATGGGTACTAAGCAAGGTCCATTTTAGTGTAGCTGAAAATAATGCATATTTGGCTACACTATTTCTGTTTACTGTATTTTGCTTCCTATTTAATGTCTAAATGCTATTGTGTTGTTTCAAATCTTAATAATGGCTCAGTTCCAGTATGTCAGTTTCAAAGAACTAAGGTTTTGCTGTTAGTGTAAGCCACTTACTCTCCCACTAACTGGGAATTCCCACTAATTTAGGTTTTTTTCTCCCCTGAAATACAAATTTTAGAAAATCCTACAAGAGGGGTGGGTGCATGTCTTAATGCTGGGAAACAGCAACTTTGGGGTTGAATTTACTTGAATGGATAAAAAATTGCATTGTTACAGAGCTAGAAAAAAATTTATGTATGAAAAATGATAATAGCCTTACACTGAGTACAAATAATAAAGCATGTGAAGATGTGATTATTTGTGATGTTACTTGTAAAAAAAAAGTATATATACATCTTTTGAAGTGTTCAAAGGAAAATAGTACTTTATATTCTTTATCATATCACTTTTTGTAAGTGTTGAATATATTCCTGTTTATTTTTCTATGTTCTGTTTTGTAGCCTTAAGAAGTGTTTCAAACATATCTGAATGTATAAAATAAGAGTAAATGCCCTACATGGTGTGATGCTGCATTATATATAAAACCGTGTGCATATATTAAATTTTGTCTCTCGATTCTGCTTGTGATTCTTTGGCTCTAGGGTTTTAAGCAGTAATATATAATATAGCATATAAATCTTAGGAGGAATTTAAGTGAAATTTTGAAGTTAAGAGTTTGCATGGCTTTTATCCAGTCAGAAAATAGTATGTGCAATTAAACACCACGTGGGATTTATAATCTATGGGGTAAGTACTGTTCTTTTCCTTACATTACATATATAATAAAGCTAGGGTCATGCGACTAGTAAGTGGTAGAATTTAGGTTTGAACCTAGCCCCAACTGGTTTGAGAGCTAGTCCTATTCTTTCTCAGCAGTCATTAAATGAAATGGGAATGTATAGAATATCTGTGAATAATTTATAGGTTAAATGAATTTTTAAGTTAGATAAAGCATTGTTTGAAAGTTTTATTTGAAAATGTAGCCAGTATACTTAAATACTTTGAAGCCTAAGTTTCTACTTTTCTCCTAACTGAATTAAGTGCAGTTCTAGGGAATGATATAAGAATGTGAATAAACTGCAAAAGAGGAAGTAAGTACAAATTCTGTTCACAGACCCTAACTAATTTATAAGCTCTACCAAAAGTGAATCATGCACTCCTCAGAATCGTCAAGCTACAGATGTTGGTGTGAATGTCAGTTTTTCAGATTGATCCTTTGAGTTCATTAGTGAAACTGGAGCTTAAAAATCAACTTTCTAAAATACATGTCATTACTATGATCACATTTATTTTCCACACTTAGAAAAAAATCTTAGGGATATTAAGTACAGAAAACGGTGTGGTTCTTAGGGTCTCATATCTCTTCAAATGTTATATAAATACTGAACTAGGAAATTATTAACTGATTCCAATAAAAATCGTTGTAGTAAGCTAGTTTTTTAAAAATAAAAACTTTGGCTTTGGATTAAATGCCTTCAGCTAGACTGAGAAAGTAATGCTGTTTTTAGTACCTACCTAGGATATACCTCTTAGTAGTAGTGTAACTTAGTCCTTTATACTTTCATGTGTTCATAAGTTGGGGGCCAAAAATGGAGACTAGAAACCAGAGGTACAGACATGAAATGACACAAGGCTTTGCTCCATGAGGGGACAGATGTACATGGTTGCCAGTCTCATTAGGTGAAGATGTATAGATAAGGGAGGCAGACTCAGGCGTGTGCAGTTGGGAGCTGGAACTCCTATATTTGTATTCACATCAGGAGCACCCCTGGAGAAGGAAATGGCAACCCACTCCAGTATTCCTGCCTGGAGAATCCCATGGACAGAAGAGCCTGGCAGGCTACTATACTCCATGGGGTCACAGGGGTCAGACACGACTAAGCGGCTACACCACCACCAGGAGCGCCCCAGTCAAACGGGCAATAGTGGTAACTAAACATTTCCTATAGACAAGCCTCTCCTTGCCTGTTTTCCAGATTCTTGGGGGAAAAAACAAAACCCACTTGACAATGTAGTCATACTTGTTTAGTTAGGTTTGATGTCCAGGAATCTGCAAGCTAAGATGAAAAGTGGTTCTGAGCTGGTCATCCAGTCCCCTGGCACAAGTAAATGGGAAGCCTTTGAAGCGACCTCAGAGCCAAGGTTCTGACCTCAAGAGAAATCTGTGAGTTTTATCCGCTTACGCAGGGATTTGTTCTAAGAAATCTGGAAGGAATGTGGCTGCTGGCATTGTGTGGTGTTTGATAGCAGGGCTAGGATCCTTGTGACTTTCTCAGCATTTCCCTCTCGTCACCTTGTGGTCACAACACAGCCACAAAAAGGTGTACCAGATACAGATCTCTTTATTAGAAAAGCAAAAGGGCTTTCGGAAACTCCAAGAGGCTTCTCTTTCAGCTTATTGGCTAGAACTGGTCAACATGGCATGCTGAGCTGCAAGCAACTAGGATATAAGAGGAGGACTGTCAGATGGCCTTAGCCCAGTTACGACCCACTGGCTGCAGCTGGGCACACTGCTTATCCTACCAATTAGGCAAGGGAGGAGGTACTGGTGAGTAGTAATAAAATGAAAATTAAAGAATTATAAGCTGCTGAACTGATTATTTGATAATTCTGTTTCTCCAACTGCTTTTCTCATTTATTCCTACTCAGACCATGTAAAAACTTCTACCTTAAATCTTGAAGGCACTGAAAGTTCACTACACTCTTGCCTGTATTATCTTTTCCTCTCACTAAGCTCTTGGGTGCCCATGCTGATATCTGACATTGTTTTCTGTTTCATGTGGATTATTTTACCATCTTTATAGGTTCTATTTCCCTGGCAGCTGCCTCTATTGTAGCCCTTTCTGACCCTCCAACCCAGACCGCTCTTCAGAACCACGTGGTACTCATAACTCACCAGTGGGGTTGAGGGCTTGACATATATGTACATGAAATACTAACGAGGGAGTGAAATCACTTAACCAAGTGAGTAGTTACCTAGTCTTCCTATAGAAACACAGAGCTGCTCTGATGAGCAGATCGATTCCTTCAATACAGTAGGCAAAACTACATGTCAGACACCAAACTACATTGAATTTGTAAGCAAGAGAAGGTACTGGACTTCAAGATGCTATGGTGTAAAATTAGGTTAAGTTGCATATGCACTAGTTTTATAGACTGCTACATGCTTCGTTAACTATAAACAGTTGATATGCACAAAATATAAAATTCAAAAGGCGTGTGTGTCTATGTGTTTCCTTTGTTCTCTGTTCCTAACCATCAAGTTATCCTTCTCAAAAGCATTGTTTTTGAGTATCTCTTTTTGTATTTTAGTACTTTGTGTATTTTCATAAATAGTGGTGTCTTATAATAAACTTATGTTGCACCATGCTTTTTTGCTTAGAAATTTTTTCTAATCAGGATATAATGATATAATTGAGCAGTCTCATTCTTTTTAGGAGAGCTAACATCTGCACTGAGGTATTTGAGTTGGTAATAGATTTTATAAAACACTTCTTTGTGTTTAAGTCCTTTTCTATTGCTGTACAGAATTTTAAGTAACATCGAATTCCTTTTTAAAATTTTCATTTACATGAAAAACAATAAATTGATATGTATTCTATATCAGTAATAAGTAGAAAGAACTGGGCTCATATCAAAAATATTTTTAAGGACATAGTACAGAATAAGTAAAAATAGCTTTTGTCTTATTTTATTCAATATATTTGAATAATCATTCACAAGTTTAACCTATCCTTAAAAATAGGCACTACTTATTTTAATATAATCCCATTTATGTACAAAGCAAACCCTTTACATATTCACACTTAGTTAAAAAGCATGAAAGGATATATATTAAAAACACTGATAACGTCTGGGAGGGTAAAATGAAGGGAAATCATAATTCTTTATTCCATTTATTTCTGTATATTTGAAATTTTCACAACAAACATATAGATTACTCACATAAATTAATTTTTTAAAAGGCCTAATGGGTCTTAGTTAAACCACTTTCCACCAACTGTTTGCCTATTAATTAAAGCTTCTGTAGTTTACAGGGAGCTCTAAAAGCTTTTCTATGTCCTAAACTCCTTTCCCACTTGTAGTATGAGTTAGTTCCAGTTCAGGGCATTAGGCAGAAATATACTTGAAAGTGGTTTCACACTACAGGTATGCCACTGTTCAAGAAATCTAGATCAGTTTTTAGAACTCCTGCTACACACTATCTAGAAAAAAAAAAAAAAAAGTCAAACAGATTTAGATAATATCCTCTATATTCAAAACCTAGAAATAAATATATTTGGTACCAAGGGATACTTTGTATTGCTATCTGGGGACTCCTTGGTGGTGTTGTTGCCTTTAGGAAAGTGGCTCACAGTCCTTGGTTGCCCATCAGAAATCTGTGGAAGTTTAAAAACACATAGGTGCTTAGGGACCAACTTTATAAAGATTTTGAGCCTGTACTGTACTTTCAAGGGAAACAGACATTCTTTAAAATACTTTTTCCTAAATCTTCTTCAGTGATTACACAAAGGTATGTTTAAAGAATGACATTACCTTGAGAATAATTACAGAATATAGAATCTTATGGAATGGTACATCTAATTCAGAATCAAGTTAGGTTTTTTTTTTCTTTTGGGTGAGGAAGAGGAGGGTGTGTTGAAATGATTTTTTTTGCTCAAGATATTTATAAGCACCAAAAACATTGTAAACAATGCTAAAGTTGGTAATAGTCTGTTTCCAGCAGTGGTGTTCTGCAGTAATCTTCCTTTGAAAGTCTAAACATACTGACAATTTAATGCAAAGACTGAAAACAAATAAATATAATCCTGATGTTTATTTATCAAATTTAATCAGTGAAGTCATCAACTGGATTTTAAAATAAGGGCAGTTTCATTATAATGGCATATTTGGCAAACCATGTTAAGTGCAGAAACCCTTTTCAAGAATTTTAAAAGGGGCAACACTGCTCAGCATTTAGTACATGAATATATAATAAACCTACTGAAAATCTTTCTATACATTATGGAAACCTGGAGGTAATTTGTATGCTTGAAATGTCTTCATTTTACAATGTTATGCACAAAAAGGGTTCTATCATCAAGATCAGAAAAGTGGCATTTTCTGTATTCAGACTACCATTTACAACACAACTAGCTTTTGATGTTACAGTAAGTAAATTATACTTCAAGCTCTAGAGCATGTGGTGTATAAAACCTGATTTAAATTTTATATGACAAAAATTCCAATAAATGTTTCTCTTAATAAATGGCTTATCAATATTCTCAGATTCACTTTAATCATCCAAGAAAAAGTAGTTTCCACTCTTCTTTTGTTCTACATCCTAAAAAACAAAGAGAAGCAAACAGAAATCAACAAACACAGATGCAACAGAAAGCAACACCACTCTCCCGTATGCCCCGGCTGGGTTCCCACAGTGCTACCAGTGCTTCCAGCAGCATCACACAATCCCCTCTGCGCTCACCAGCTGCTTCTGGAAACTCCTCACCCCGCTGCTCAAAGACAAGGTTACTACTCTGCTACCCACCTCCACCACCTACCAAAGACACCTTCCTTGATGTACACCTCACACAAAA